ACATATATATAATATACATTGTATTCCAGAAATGACGTTTATCTCCTCCACTATATTAGTGATCAAGGACAATATTCATGAAAAAGGATTAGTAGCAATTTATCGGTCTCGTCTATATTTATCCTATGATTTTCTTTTTTTTTAATAATAATAACTGTTATTATTATTATTATTAATCATGTGAGAAAAAACACCGAAAAAAAAACAAAATAATTATAGAAAAAAAAAAATTTTTTTTCATTTAAAAATTGAAAGTTTAGCACTCTCTAAATCTAAATTAGTAAAAATGTTTACTAATTTGAATTAGTGACTCACTTTTTGCTTTTAAATTAGTTAAATTTTACTACTTTTGTTAGTAAAATTTACTAATAATTAGTAAAATTTTACTAATTGAGAAACAAAAAGTGAGTCACTAATTCAAATTAGTAAACATTTTTACTAATTCAGATTTAGAGAGTAATTGAATATAAAATTTTTAATAATAATAATAAATAATAATAATAAATTATAAATAAATAATATTTTTTTTTAATAAAAAAGTGAAAATAGAATTTTTTTTAGCAGAAAAATGATGAATATATATATATATATATATTTTTTTTTTTAATTAAAATTGTTTGTGTAAATAAAAAATTAATTTTGTTTTTTTTTAATATATTATAAAGAGAAGAAAAAAGAGAAATTCTTTTGTGAATGAAAGTTATGAAAAAAAAATGTATAAAAGAGAATGCTTCGCATTCAATGGTATATGTGTATATTCATATACATATATATATATATATATATATATATATATATATATATATATATTTTTGTGACAAACACGAGACATTATTCTGGGGCAGTGCTCGAAAATTTTTCATTCTTTCAAAAGACATTTAAACATATATGCTAAAGGTATATTCGTCATCACTATATAAGGGGGAATATATGACGAATATATGAGTGTGATGATAATGATAAACATAAAATGAATATGTGCACAAGTGCATTTAAAAAATTTATCTTATTTTTTCCACCAAAATGAAATTATTATTATTATTAAATAAAAATAATTTATTAATAACTTATTATTCTAAATTTAAGAATATTTGCTAAATACTAAAAATATATTCTAATTTTAAGAGTAGAATATAGTAAATTTTAAAATATTTGGTAAATACGATAAATATATTCTATATTTAAAAGTATAATATATATACTAAATTTTAGAATATTTGCACGGTAAAAAAAATTTACCTGTGGGACAGCGATAAGTTTCACTGGAATAGCGATATATTTCACAAAAATAGTTAAAGTTTTCGCTATTCTACAAAAAAATATCGCTGTTCCAAATAAAGATTTTTTTCCATGTGGTAAATAGAATAAATATGTATATATATATATTCTCATTTTAAGAGTATTACTAAATTTTAGAATAATTACTAAATACTAAATATATTCATAAGTTAAGAGAAGAATATACTAAATTAAAATTTTTTTGCTAAATATACTAAAAGTATATTCTTTCTTTAAGAGTACACAGAAAATTAAAAGGCATTAAAATAAGCTGCAACGCTTCTTATTTTAATCCAATTTTGCTTATTTTAATACCAAAATGGATTAAAATAAGCAAAATTGGATTAAAATAATAAGCGTTGCAGCTTATTTTAATGCCTTTTAATTTTCTGTGTATAACTATAAATTTTAAAAAAAAATTCGTTTATTTTTAAATATTGATACCAAAAAATAAATATTTATTAAAATTTTGTGCGGTTGAATGTTCGCGCGAGAGCACACGACCGCATATTGAATATAGTATATATATATATATATTTGTATTCGGTTAAAAAAAAAAATGAAAATTATAATTTATTTTTGGAATAAATTATTTTTTACTATCGTTCATATATACAATATATACGTCGCGTGCAAAATAACAAAACTAATGTACAAATTTATATGTTAACTGTATATAAAAATATATAAGAAACTATTCGCTGACATTTCTAAAAATACATGCATATATATTTTTTTTTATTCTTGTGCAATTCACGCGTTTGATGACTCAAGTGTTACATCGCGTTTTACATGTATGTACTTTTTTTTTGCATTTTCTTTATTAAATAAAAAATCTTTTTCAGACACATTGTGTTTTAAAATTCAAAATATTTCTTTTTTTCCACTTTTAATTTATTTTATTGTTACAGTTTTTTTTCATTTCCTTTATTTTCCTGATATTTATTAATTTAATTGAGTTTAATTTATAATTCATATTTATAATTGACTTTCACTTATAATTCATAATTAATTTAATTTAATTTAATTAATTTTTAATTAATTTAATTTTTTGCTAATTTTTTTGTCATTTTGTACAATTTTTATTAAATGTTTGTATTTATTTACCACTAGTCGGTAAAATAGATTATATGGTTACCGACGTAGAGTTCGTTTTAATTGTACTATCCGTCGGTAAAGTAGATTGGATACTTACCGACGTGGAGGGGGTTCGTTTTAATTGTACTATCCGTCGGTAAAGTAGATTGTATACTTACCGACGTGGAGTTCGTTTAATTGTACTATCCGTCGGTAAAGTAGATTGTATGCTTACCGACGTGGAGGGGGTTCGTTTTAATTGTACAATCCATCGGTAAATTAGATTGTAATCACAAGTTAGGAATCTACATTATCGACTGACGGCAAGTAGTTTACAGATAAACGTGGATTTAAACCCCTATCGATAAATTCGAAATCTACATTACCGACAGATGATAAAAATCATTTAATACATTTTATATTTTTTAAATAAAATATTGTTATCTCTTTTAATATTAATTAAATTTATTATTAATTATTTATTGAACTAATACCACGGATAAACGTGGATTTAAACCCCTATCGATAAATTCGAAATCTACATTACCAACAGATGGTAAACATCATTTAATACATTTTATATTTTTTAAATATAAAAATTGTTATCTCTTTTAATATTAATTAAATTTATTATTAATTATTTATTGAACTAATTTTTATTTATAAAAAAAATTCAATTAAAATTTTAATGATAAATTTGATTGTTTATCGTATTTATTATTATTAGTAATAATAATTTACAAGAAAAAATTCACTTTGCTTTAAAGAAAATTCAACATTAAAAAAAATAAAAATATCAGGGAATAAAAGTTATTTGGCATAAAAATGCATTTTTGTCTGATTTTAGAAAAAAAAACCTATTCAAATAGAGAAAAACGAACATTGAAAAGAATGATAAATGTTCCCGCACCGAGTTATTTGAGAATTTTCTCATACTATTATATATATATATATTATAAGATAATATTATAATAATCGCATATTTAATGGTGTCCTACTGTGAAAGGTAAAAATATTCTTCCAAAAAGGATAATTTTTTTTTGTATTGTATAAAGGAGGGACGAAAATTATATTGAATGTGTCATAATTGTATTTATAATAATGAACTCCTATTATGTGTGTTCTTTGACTTTTATAAATATATATATATATATATATATATTTATATATAATATATAAATAGTTTTCTAAGCCCGTATATATTCCTTCCTTGGAATCTTGATCTCAATGATTACCAATTCAAGGACAAATGTTTGCAAGAGAATAAACTAAGTCAAGTCTGCATTCGGAACAAATTTTAAAATTAGACACACACATTAATATAGTCTTTGTTCTGCATGTTTTTTTTCCCACTAAATTATATATATATATATATATATATATATATATATATTTGCGCTATAAAAATGTTATCGTTTAAAAAAAAAAAAAAAAATTCCATTTTTTTCCACTAAATTATATTACGCATAGAAATTCTGTTTAAAAAATTCTTTTATCATATACTTTGGTTTTTAATTGTTTATTTGAAAAAAAAATGACAATTATTTTCAGTTATATTTTTAAGAGAAAACGGGAGAAACAAATAAAATAAGTTACATTTCCTCTGTTATAATACACACGCGGTATATTGAGTTTTTAATTATACTTTTTTTTTTTTCTTCAAACACACGCACAGACAATATTATAATATATAGAGCAAAGTTGACTCACAACTTTTACTAGCGTATATTAAAAAGACGATAAGTCAGAAAATAAAAGGCGTTTTTTTTTTTTTTTTTAAAAAAATTGGAAGAAAATATTAAAAATTGACAAATTTTGAAAATAATTCTTTCAATATTTTGAAAGATCCCAGATTTACAAGGAGAAATACTTTTTAGCTTAGAACAGAAATTTATTACGAAAACTTTGATAATTTTTAAAAATTCTGTATGCTATGTTGTATTATGAACGGGCCCTGACAGGGCCTAGGCAGGGATGCCCTAAATCCGCATGAAACACTAAATTCGACGGGGGCGACAGAAGAAACTCTATTTTGATTAAAATCGATTAAAACCGGGGCCTGACGGGGCCCCAGACAGGTTCCCTGTTTCAGCCAGGTCAGGGCCAGATTAGCGAATTTCGGTACTATATGTATATATTACGTATATTGTAGATACTAATTAGGAAAGTAGCGAATCTAGCCCTGACCTGGTTGAAACCGGGGCCCGATCAGGGCCTAGTGTGGGCCCTGTTAGGTTGCCTATTTCATTTAGATTAGAGCAAGATTATCAAATTTCGATACTACATTTGTTCTATTACACACTAATTTGGAAATTCGCTAATCTGGCCCTGACCTGGATGAAACAGGGAGCCTGGCTAAAGCCTAGTGTGGCCCCTGTTAGGTTGCCTATTTCATCGAGATCAGGGCCAGATTAGCAAATTTCCAAATTAGTATAAACAATATACCGAAATTCGCTAATCTGTCCCTGATCTGGATAAAATAGGCAACCTAACAGGGGCCACACTAGGCTTTAGCTAGGCTCCCTGTTTCATCCAGGTCAGCGCCAGATTAGCGAATTTCCAAATTAGTTTAAACAATATACCAAAATTCGCTAATCTGGCCCTGATCTGGATAAAATAGGCAACCTAACAGGGGCCACACTAGGCTATAGCCAGGCTCCCTGTTTCATCCAAGTCAGGGCGAATTTTTGCACAAGTTTATATGTTGTCGTGTAGAAATTCACCAAACTGGTTATCTGATCTGCAAGAAAACAAAGTACCTGACTAGGGCCACACTAGGCTCCAACCGGGTTTCTTATTTCGTCCAAGTCAGGACCATACCAGGCCGGGTTCCACTTTTAATCGATTTTCATCGAAATAAATTTTTTTCTATCTAAATTCGACGAATTTAGTATTTTATTTGGATCCAGGGCTTCCCGATTTGAGCCCTGACAGAGCCAGGTCAAAATTTTTGCGCGAATATATATATACGAATTTGGAAATTCGCCACTGTGGCTATAATCTGGATAAATCAGAGTACCCGACTGGGTCACACTGGACTCTAATTTGTTTCCCTGTTTCGCCCAGATCAGAGCCAGTTTAGCGAATTTCTAAATTTTAAAATAAATACTGTGATTATCAAAACACACTTTAAAAATCACATTTCTAGAAAAAGATTTTAATTATTTCTGAAATAAATCTTACACAATATATATATATATATATATATACATATTATGTGCAATATATATATACTTCCGTGAAGATGTCAAACTTACGGCGAGTCGAGAGCACGTGTATTCAATACCAATATAAGATCTAATCAAACTGATGTCATAACTCAAGTGCATAAATTGCCATATCTTGTTCTCGGATTGGTTCACAACTTTCATACAACTCGACCAATGGGATGCAAATTTATGTGAAAAACCACAATAAATGAGAGAGAGAGAGAGAGAGAAAGGATTTTTAAAACAATTCATAAATATGTCACCGGAATGAGTTTCTTTATAAATACAAAAGCACCTTTCCAACTTTAAATGCCGCGAATATAATGACACTTTAGAGTACAAGAATTGCTTCCAAAGCAATTGACTCTATAGTATATATGTATATTATATATATATATGTGTATTTGCCTAGTGCGAGCATATAGAAAAGGCTCTTTGTCGCTTCATTTTGGCACAATAAGCATATCACCTACCTGTTCCCATTTTATCCATTTTCGTTTCCTTCAATATACTGTTTCTTTATTTGACACAACAAAAAAATTAGAAAATTTTAATTATTTTTTCCTTTAAGCACCATGAGATTTTGCAAAATTATTGTTCTTCTTCTTCAAACAATTATTGTTCACAATGAAAAACAATTGATAATGTTTTGAAAAAACTTTTGATTATATCCAAATAATTTTTCGTTATTTTTGACTTTGCACAATTTTTTACAATGTACGGATAATTTTTTTTGATAATGTTCTAATGATTTTTGACAATGCTGCAACTTTTGATTAGTTTTGAACCAATAATTTCGGGTGTACTTGAAGAGACTTTGATTTTTATCAAATTTTTGTCGATTGACAATTAATTTTTGACTAGATTTAATCTGATTTTGATGTTTTGTCAATTTCTGATGATATTCAGTTGAGGTTCTCGTACTTTTCGGCAAAATTTGACAATGTTTTACTAATTCTTGATTATGTTCTATTAAATTTTCTGATAATTTTTCTTGTACTTTTGGATTCTGATATTGTTCCACTGATTTCTGATAATGTTCCACTATGTCTGGATGATGTACAACTAATTTTTGACAATGTTCCACTAAATCCGAATGATGTTCAATAAATTTTCGAAGCTCCCCTGACTTCTGATACTGTTCCACTGATTTCTGATAGTGTTTCACTAATTCTGGATGTTGTTCCACTGATTTCTGATAATGTTCCACTAAGTTTGTATGATGTTCACCTAATTTTTGATACTCCTCTAACTTCTGATGCAGGTGCACTGAATTCTGATAATGTTCCACAAAGTCTGGATGATTTCCTACTAATATTTGATGCTCCTCTGTCTCCTGATACTGTTCTACTAATTTCTGATAGTGTTCCACTAAGTCTGGATGAGCTTCTAGCAAGTTTTGATGATTCTCAGACTTCTGATTCTGTTCCACTAATTTGTGAAAGTGTTCCACAAAGTTTGGATTAGCTTCTGGTAATATTTCCAGTTCTTCTGAGTTCTGGTGCTGTTCCACTGAATTCTGATAGTGTTGCACTAAGTCCGGATACTGTTTACCTGGTTTTTGATGCTCCTCTGACCCTTGATATTGTTCCACTAATTTCTCCTTTTGTTCCACTGCTTTCTGATAATGTTCCACTAAGTCTGGATGATCTCCAATTAATTTTTGATACTTTTCTGTCTTTTGATGCTGTTCTACTAATTTTTGACAATGTTCCACTATGTCTGAATGATTTTCAATTAAATTCTGTTCCTCCTCTGCCTTTTCACCTAGTTCCACTAATTTTCGATGATATTCCACAAAGTTTAGCTGATGTTCCACGAAATTTTGATCACGTTCTACCAAACCACATTCAGTTAATTCTTCTTCTTCTTTCAACTTTTTACGTTCCCTCCTTAATTTTTTATCTTCTCCAAATCTTGTGACAATAAAAATGAAATGACTTATTGCAATTTGATGCTGATGAATTCCCCGAGTAGCAATAGCAGCTTGACGAGGCCGCATCGCTTAACGAATATCTAACTCTATACTAGATCCCAGAGACCGCAGTGTGTGTCGTTCACGCGATCGAGCATCAGTCAACTATATAGATACTGCAACATACAAAATGAACACGGTGTGCACTTTTCCCGCGAGTTGTTACTATATGTGTATGATCAAAGACTTCCCTTTCTTTAGCCTTCTGCGTTCCGAAGTCCGTGATTCTGACGCGTTTTATAGAGATAGTTTCTGCTGTGTGCTACTGCCGAGATTGCAATATAGATGACATCCTGAAAATTTGCCTCAACAGCTTCTTCTTCTTCTTCTTCTTCTTCTTCTTCTTCTTCTTCTTCTTCTTCTTTTTCTCATTCATTGAGATTTATATCTATATAGAATGTGTTGAAAGAAACCAAGATTCTTACCCCCCCAATGTTTCTCGATGACTTTTATGTATGCGATTTTTAATATATTTAACGGATAGAAATTTTTCCTAAACGAATAAACATTCTTTTGTAAAATTATAGACATTTTTTAACTGATTTTATGTGATATTATTAAAATTTTAAACAAGTAATTAGCAGTAAATTTTAATTCTACATCTTGTTTCCGAATGGTAATATATTTGTAAATCATTGGGATCAAAGTGCAAATTTTTCTATATAGAAAAAAATTTGCAGATGTAAAGGAGAAAATTGTATGTTTAAAATTTTTTACTTTCTAACCGATTTAGTTCGCCTAAAATCAATATTAATTTATTATTAAAATCAATTTTCTTTCCTAGAACATTTGTCGCGTGCGTATTATATGAAATTTTTTGACACAATATATGCCAATGCATGTATGAATGCATAAAAGATTTCTGATACAAATAGTTTATAAATCTATGGAATTGTTTCTTTGATAACTGGCCTCATTTTATGTTGTATTTATCGACTATATGTATATATATACAGATTAACTAGGAATTTCTTCAATATATATATATAAAAGACGAGCACATGTGAACAAATCTATTGTTTCACCTTCTTTGTTCTTTATATATTCGTTTTAGTATTTTATAAAATGATTTTTAGAAAAGAAATACTCGTTTATAAGAAGAAATTGTTTTCTTCCTGACTTTACTGTATATACTTATATCTCTATATATATATACAAAGTATTGAACCTCGTCACGGAAAAAAGGACTCGAATGGTGCGGTCATTGATTTCCTCTATATCGGTATTTACAAAAGACAAAAATCAAATGATGAAATAACTTGAAGTAATATTGAGAATATTGCAAAATATTTGCTGTTTTTTTTTTGTTTATTAAAACTATTAATAATTTATATTAAAATTAATTGAATTTCTCTAGAACTATTAATAAATAGTAAATAAAAAAAAAATTCGGTAAATATTTTTATACTAATTTAAATTTTGATTTGAAAAAACAAAAAAATTTTTTGATAAAAAATATTCACTGAAAGCAATTAAAAAAAATTTTTTTTTTAGAGAAAGAAGGAAATAACTTTTTTTTTTCATTTCTAAACCTAAACATGCAAAGGTGGAATCAACGGGAGAGGAGACTCCCCATTTACAGTATGAGCTGCATACATTTGAATTCTTATCCAAGGCCGTTGCTTATACTCTCTGACATATTAGCAGTGGCGTAACAAACAAAAGACAAAAGAGGATTATACTAGACCCTCATAAAGAAACAGAGCAGAGAAACAGCTGAGATAGATATAGTTATTTTTAGATTCATATTTATATTTATCATTTATATATATTTAATGGTATTCACAGTTTTAGAAATATAATGGATTTTTAGAAATATTAGGGGAAATTTTTTTTTAGTAGATTCCTATTACCGACATTTATCGACATTATCAACGGTGGGTAAAAATGACTATAAAAACTTTAAAAGTAGATTCCTATTACCGACATTATCAATGGTAGGTAAAGAAGACTTTAAAAACCCAAAAAGTAGATTCCTATTACCGACATTTATCAACATTATCAATGGTGGGTAAAGAAGAATATAAAAATCATAAAAGTATATTCCTATTACCGACATTATCAATGGTAGGTAAAGAAGACTTTAAAAACCCAAAAAGTAGATTCCTATTACCGACATTTATCAACATTATCAATGGTGGGTGAAGAAGAATATAAAAATCATAAAAGTAGATTCCTATTACCGACATTTATCGACATTTGAAGCTTTCCAATTACCCACAGATGGTAAAAAAAAGTTTATTAAACCGAAAAAAAACTTTCCTATAATTGTTATTTTTAATAATTTGCAAAAATTGACAATCAACCTTATCCACAGTTGGTAATAAAGGTTACTTAAATCGACAAGAAAATTTTATATTATCGGCAGTTATCGACATTTAGAGAAAAAAGGAAATTTATTATTATTATTATTATTATTATTATTATTATTATTATTATTAATATTATTACCATTATTACATTTATTACTATTAATAAAATTATTAAACAAAAGGCTAAGTAAATTGCAATTAAAAATCACGATTATTGATATTGGATTACCAATATTACCGATCGTTGATAAGGAAGAATGTTTAATAACCTAATGTCGGTAATTCTTATTAAATATTCTTCCTTATCAACGGTGGGTAATGTTGGTAATTCAATATCGATATCGTAGAGCTCTTTTTTACCATCGGTCGATAATATACTTCTATTACCGATCGATATGATAAGAAAGAGCTCTGCTATTAATATTTATTGACAATATATTGAATATTTTAATGTAAAATTTCTTTTAATTTAATCAAAAATTTTTAACTAAAAAAAATAATAATATAAATTATTGGCACAAATGTAAGAACAAAAAAATTATAAAAAAAAATTAAAGAGGAAAAAAAAATTTCAAACATTTGTATTTAAATTATATACAATCTATGCGCGCCTACATTAAATTGATGATTAAAAATGATTTTTCTTTACAGTGCATATAAGTACCTTCTAATTCATTATTATTGATTTCAATTTGCATACGTTCTGGTTTTATAAAATGATCTTTATATTATACTTTCCTTTTTTTATTTCTATATATAACCTTTTTTTTCATCATTGTGTATATTTTTTTATTGTATTATTCTTTTTTATAATTGTAACTAATTATTTATTTATATAAATTTATGTAATAATAATGAAAACAATAATAATAATAATAATAATAATAATAAAATTTAAATGATAAATGTATAAATTAAAAAGATAAAAAAATAGCAACATTTTTTAATTTCAATGAGAGAAAATATTTTTGAAATTAAAAAAACAGTTATTTTTAGATTAGAAAAAAAATCCATTCTTTTTTTATGAATTTAGAAAAAATAGAAATATATTTTTTATATTTATAAGGGATGAAATATAAAAACTCGAGTACTTGGAGATTGAATTGATCATCGATATAATATGAAATAAAATATAATAATAATAGTTATATATATATAAAACTGACATTTTATACATAAAAGGAGAAATAGAATAAAATACAGTGCGTATTAAAATATTTCAAGTTCCTTTCAAAAGTGAAACAATAACTGAATATATATGATTGTTTAATATATGAATATATATATATATATATATATATATACTATATGGGATTATTGGTTTTTCAATATAATACATATCTCATCGCATATCGTTCACAAAACAGTGAGAGAAGAAGTGTTGTCTCCCACAAAGTTTATGTGTATCGAAACGATGCTTATTCTCGTATTTTCTGATGCTTTCATCTTACATTTAAATATTTTTTTTTATTTTATTATTATTATTATTATTATTATTTTTACTATTTTTATTATTATTTTTATTATTATTTTAAATATTATTTTTATTATTATTATTTTATATTAAAATTTATATAAATTAATACACTCAGAAAAAAATTCGTTTGAAGCAACGAAATTTTGGTTAAATCAACAAAATAAATGCATTGATATACAGTTAACCAAACATTTGGTTGCATAAACCAAACGTATATTTATCTCAATCAAATATTTTCTTTGTTCAAAAAATTTATTAAAAAAACAGTTAAAAACAGTTAAAACAGTTATTTAGATCAGATAAATATTTATTTGAATTAAACAAATTTTGTTTGAACTAACCAAAAAATTGGTTAAATATAAAAAAATGGTACATTTGGTTCAAACATACCTTTTTTCTGAATGTATACGAAATTAAAATGTGTTAAATGAAAAATTAATTAAATTACAAATAAATTAAATTATTACTATTATTATTAATATTTTTTTTTTATTGCTAAATTTAGGAGCACATTTGTACGAAAGGGCTTGTCCCGTTGATAAATAAATTATTTTAATTAATAATTCTATTTGTTTTATTTCCAAAAGAGATTGAATAAAAAAAAAAAAAACCTCTTTTCTTTCATTTGACATGAAAATTTTTTCAATGCACAGAAAAAACATGTATATATGTATACGTTCTGAAAAGGAAAGAAAAATCAATAAAGTAGTTTTCCCAAGCTATCGTGTTATATACAATATTGATTTTGCTTTCATATTTCATATTGCAATTTACTTTTGAATTTTTTTTTCCTCAAATTTCTATAATTTATATAATAATTGATTATATACTCTAAGTTCTAAATTTTCTTATAAAAAAAAAATTTTTATTTATATTTTTTTTAATATATACTATAAGAAAATAATTAAATTATTTTTATTTTTTGGTATATTATTATATATATTATTTATTATTTCAAAATATTTTTTGAATTCAATTTATAAATTATTTTTAACAAAAAAAATTTATTAAAAATTTTAACAAAATTTAAATTTTTAATGTTTTTTTTTTTAAACTTTTAGTTTTACTCTACAAAATAATATACAAATTATTTGTTATTTTATTTTTTTTTTTTTAAATAAATAGAAAATAATTTTGTTATTAATTTTTCTTTTAGTAAATTATTTTAAAGTTAATTAGTGCTTTTTAATTATTTTTTATTTATAACTATTTAAAATGATAATAGTAATAATTGTTTTAAAAATAATAATAAAATATTATTAATTAAATAATAAGTTACAATAAAAAAAAAATTTAATAAATAATAATTTTTTTAATAAAGTAGAAAAAAAGGGGGCGCGAGGAGGGGGGGGGGAGCGTAGGATTTATCCCGGAAAAATTGTGAATATATACATATATATATATGTATGAGAATTGGAAAATTCGTGAATCAATCGCGGAAACATACATACGTATATTATCACTTGCATATAATAATATACTAATACTCGCGGGCGTTGAAATAGCATATATGAGCTTCCTTTCTCCTCCCTGACCTCATTTTCCATTTGACCTCATTAGCACATAGAAATACGTGCGCGCTTCAAATGAGGCGCCGGGGTAACAGGTGTTTCGTCATTACCAACCGAGTCAAATCAAAGTCTTAAATTGTCGAAAAAAAAAAATATATTTTTTCCAAATTTACTCTCACCTTAAATCAATTTCTTTTTTTTTATTTTCATTGCAAAAATTATTTTAGTTTTTTTTTTTTTATTTCCTTCTTTTTCTCTTTTTTCGCCTCGTTCCACATACACACTGCAATAGGGAGGAAAAATCGATAGTGACCCAACTTTGCCTCCCTTGCACGTGTATGACGTCAAAAACAACTCCATTTTCATTGCTAATTGCATTCCGCTCTCTTTCCGAATTTTTCAACAAAAAAATATTTTTTTAAAAATTTTTTTTTCTACTTTTAATTACTAGAAAAATTTATTATTTACGCTATTTTAGAAAAAAAAAAATTTAATTCTAAAAATAAACTAATTTTTTTTGTTTTTTTAATTGGAGTGCAAAAATATTTAATTATTTATATTTCTCGTGAAATATTTTTGATTTTTTTATATTTTTTTCTACTTTTAATTATTAGAAAAATTTATTATTTACGCTATTTTAGAAAAAAAAAATTTAATTCTAAAAAAAAAATAATTTTTTTTGTTTTTTTAATTGGAGTGCAAAAATATTTAATTATTTATATTTCTCGTGAATTTTTGATATTTAGAAAATTTCAGTAGAATTTTTTTAATAAAAAAATTATAACAATAATAATTTATTGACAATTTATAATTAAAATTCAAAATAAATGAGGAAAATATATATTTAGGAAATTAAATAAGCGAGATGAGTTTAATTAAATCTGATAAGTGTGTGAAAAAAAAAAATAATAATTTTTAATATAATTGCGATTAAATTTTTTTCTTTATTAAATTAATAATAATTTAAATTTTGAAATATTAATTTAAATTCAAATTATTATTCATAATTTAAATTATTATTTGTTTTTTATTGAAAAAAATAATTAAAATATTATTAATTTATAAAATTTAATTGCGAATTTAATTATAAATTTATTTATTCAAGCTGATTTAGTTAATTATTATTAAATATAAATTATTATTAATAAATAAATTTATAATTCATTTGCAATTAAATTTTATAAATTAATAATATTTTAATTCCCTAGTAATTATTTAATAAAAAACAAATAATAATTATAATAATTTAAATTATCAATAATCATTTGAATTTAAATTATTATTTATTACATAAAAAAAAAAATTTAATTCGCAATTATAATTGTTATAATAATTATTATTATTTACTATATTTATTTCTTTTTTTTAATTTTATTTTATGTTTAATTAAATAAAAAAAATTTTATTTTTTATAAATAGTAAATAGTAATATAAAATAAATTCAAAACTGTTTTGTATATTATATAAATATTATTTTATAATTAATTAATTAATTTAATAATTATTATTAATAAATATTATTAATGAAATAATTATTAAACAAAAAAAATATTAATAAAATAATTATCAAATTAAAATTATTAATTTAATTTAAATAATTAATTTGCTATTTAAAAAAAAAAATTGTAATTTAAAATATTCAATAATGCATAATTATAATTTTTCATTGCGTGTATTTTTTATAAACAAAATAAATTAAAATAGAAATTAAAATATATAAAAATTTTTTTTTGAAAATACCCGCGTTTCTTATTTTATTGTTGGTAGAATTGAATGAAAGCAAGTTTTCGCATGCGCAAAAGTTTGACAATCAAAATAACCTCAAAATCGTGACAATAAACAAATAAATCAATGTTGCGCGGGGGAAAAAAATGACAATATAATCCAGTGCAAATAAATACATATATATATATACCCCGCACGCGATATTATGTAACACTCGAGTCAACCATTTGAGTTCAATTCCTTTTTTTTGTTTGTTTGTTTCTTTCTTTTTTTTTCTATAAGAGAGTGATAGAGATAAAAAATGATTTATCAATCGTTTCATGCGCAAAGATGTTTTTCTATTTAGAAAAAAAGAAATTTTTTTTTTCTTATTATTTCACGCGCAATGGACTGTGTGACAGTGAAAATTTTATTTTTTGCTAAAGCACGTGAATTATCCGGTGTTAAGGAGTGTAATTTAATGACAATTAAAGAAATATCGTATAGAAATTTAAAGAAAATTATTGTCAATAAATTTCATTTAGAAAGTATTTGTGATAATTTAATATTGGCATTAAATGAAAATTTTGTTTCTGAAGACATAATATTTAATCTTATCGAAAAGGACGAAATTGCTGTTATTCCACCTTTAAGTGGAGGTTTGTCTTTTATTTTATTATTATTGTTAATAATGTATTTATTATTATTATTATTATTATTATTTCTATTAATTGTTTTAAAAAATTAAGTTTTATAAATTTTTTGAGACATTTTTCATTTTTTCGTAGACAAAAGAAGAAATTTTTTTCGATTCCTAACCTCAAAGTTTCCGTTTTGTTTTTTTTTTCGCGAAAATATTTGTTTTAATTTTTTGCAAAAATTTAATTTAAAATTATTTAAAGAAAATAAATAAATAGCCCTTGGGATTCAAAATTTTTCTTTAAAAAATAATTAATTAATTTATAATTTACTATAAATAATTACTACATTATAATAAATTTAACAACAATAATTATTATTAAAAAATAATTTTTATTATTACTAATTTAATTTTTTTTCAATAAATCATTTTTTAATATTAATATTTATTTATTATTAACTTTATTAATATTAGAAATGATTTATTGAAAAAAAAATTAAATTAGTAATAATAAAAATTATTTATAATAATAATTATTGTTTTTTTTAAATTTATTATAGTGTAATAATTATTTATAGTAGATTATAAATTAATTAATTAATTATTTTTTTTAATTGAAAATTTGCGTTTCAAGCGCTATTTATTTATTTATTTTTTAATTTATTATTAATTTATTATTTATTTAATTTATTATATAAAATATCGTTTTTAATAAAAATTTATCTATTAATTTTAATATTTAATATTAAATATTTAAAAAATTCGTGAAAAATAATAAAAATTTATTCAATTATTATCTTAATGCAGGTTAAAATGGAGCAGTCAAAAGATATTGTAAAATTGCAGTATGCAAAATTAAATATAAATGAAATTGTGGATTTGGTAACTTCGCCAAAATGTGGAGCAATTTCTACTTTTATTGGAACCACTCGAGATAATTTTGAAAGCAAACAAGTGAGTAATTAATAATTATAATAGAAATTTTTTTAAATTAAAATATCCAATTTAGGTCTCATTAATGTGAAATTTAATTATTTTGTTCTTTTAACGTAATAAATTACTATTATTATTATTATTATTTTAATATTATTATTAAAAAAATATTTTTTTTATTAATTAATAATAACACAGGCACACAAAAAATAAAAAGTTGTTTGGCCGAGACACTACACTAGTCTATTTTCATGTATTTTTTCACGCTGAATCCGAATCCGAAGTCAGAATTATCAGATTGGCTCTTATTTTTGAGAAAAACTCAAAAAACTGCTCAGAAAGAAAAATAAAATCAAAAAGTTAAAAAATTTTTGAATGTTACTGCGATAGTGTAATTCCATGTATTTTTTGTCGCTGAATCCGAATCCAAAGTCAGAATGTTTAGATTCGCTCAAATTTTTGAGATAATTGCAAAAAAACACAAGTAACAAAAAACTCAAAATACTCAAAATCAGTTTTTTTGGAATTATCTTTAAAATTTGAGCCAATCTGTCAATTCTGACTTCGAATTCGGATTCAGCGTGAAAAAATACATGAAAATGCACTATCGTAATGTTTCGGCAAAAAAAATTTCTTTGAGCTAAAATCGCCAAAAACTGATAAAAATTCTGAATTAGGGGCACAGATAATTTTTTTTGCCGAAACATTACGATAGTGCATTTTCATGTATTTTTTCACGCTGAATCCGAATTCGAAGTCAGAATTGACAGATTGGCTCAAATTTTGAAGATAATTCCAAAAAACTGATTTTGAGTATTTTGAGTTTTTTGTTACTTGTGTTTTTTTGCAATTATCTCAAAAATTTGAGCGAATCTAAACATTCTGACTTTGGATTCGGATTCAGCGACAAAAAATACATGGAATTACACTATCGCAGTAACATTCAAAAATTTTTTAACTTTTTGATTTTATTTTTCTTTCTGAGCAGTTTTTTGAGTTTTTCTCAAAAATAAGAGCCAATCTGATAATTCTGACTTCGGATTCGGATTCAGCGTGAAAAAATACATGAAAATAGACTAGTGTAGTGTCTCGGCCAAACAACTTTTTATTTTTTGTGTGCCTGTGTAATAATAATATAATAATAAATTAATGGGGCCCCTAAATTAATATTTATTAAAATAAAAATTAATACTCTTTTAATATTATTATTAAAATAATATTCATTATTATTATTTTTTTTTTAATAATTAATTAATTAATTTATTTATTTAGAAATTGTAAACGGTAAATATTGAAATAATATTTTAAAATGTAAATAATTTCAAAATATTATTTTTAAAAAAAACGCGTCAAAATTTGAATTTTTTAAAATTTTATTTGTTTTTTAATTAATTTAATTATATTTTTCCAGTTATTGAAATAATCCAAAATTTTGTTATTTTGAAAATACAAAAAAAATTTCAAACTACTTCTTTAGAAATATTTTTCAAATTTTTGATTTAAATTTAATTGAATTTTTAATAAATATTACAAAATATATTTATTTGCAATTGCAAATTAAAATATTTAATTAATATTTATATTTAATATAATAAATAAATTAATATTAATATTTGAATATTTTCATTTTTGAAAATAATGAAAAAATTTGTAGTTATATTTCAAAAATTCGGAAATATATCTTTAAATTTTATTTTTTAAATTTTTTGGAAAATAAAAAATGCTAAATATAATATGTATTATTTGGCATTTAAATAAATTTATTTATTTATAAAATAAAAATTCTAAGCAAAATTTCGATAAAAATCGAAATAAGAAAAAATTTTGTATAGAAAATAAAATAAATATTTTTAATTTTTTTTTTTCAAGGTATTGCAATTAAATTATGAAGCGTACGAACCAATGGCATTGAAGGAAATGATGAATATTTGTGAAAAGGTCCATTCTCAATGGGATGTTGATCGAATTGCAATATTTCATCGTTTAGGCGAAGTTCCAGTTTCCGAAGCAAGTGTTGTTATTGCAATTTCTTCAACGCACAGAAAGGAATCACTTCACGCTGTACAATTAACAATTGATATGCTAAAGGCATCAGTTCCAATCTGGAAAAAAGAAATTTATGCCAATCAAGATTCAAAATGGAAGGAAAATAAGGAATGCTCTTGGTCTTCCTGTAAATGAAATTTTTAATTTCCAAAAAAAAAAAAAAAAAGTGAAAAATACACAAAATCTTTTTTATTTTTTATATTTTTCACTTTTCTTTAAAAAAAATAAAAATAGAAAACCAAAAAACTATTTTGAATAAAAACATAGAATTTTTCCATTTTCTCGAGGAAAAAAAAAAAAATTTATTTTGTCAATTTTTTTAAAAATACTTTTGAAATCTAAAAAAATTGAAAATTATTGAAAAAAAGCATTTTTTAAAATTTGGAATATTTTTTTTTTTTTGAACCGATGTTAATTTTTCTTTTCTGTGTTTAAGTTTTGAAAATTCTAATAAAATGTTACCTCAAAGAAAAACAAACCTTTTTTTTGTCTTAAAATTTCTTTTGATTATTGCTTTAAAAAATTGTATTTTTTTTCATTATTTTAATTTTTATAACGCAGATGGTTTGGAAAAAAGTGATGACAATAAATTTCCAAATAAGATGAAAACTTCCAATGATGATGGAAAAAAAAAATTATTATTATTCAATGAAAATCCACCGATTACTATTGATTCTAGTATTGTTCAAGTTAGAGCAAATTCCGAGGAATTGAATCGAAGAATTCAAGCTTTCATTTCCCGAAAACGAGAGCACGTGAATCTTTTAAATATTCAGGAATTTTGTATTCATGGGTGAGTTCTTTTTTTTTCTAAACGTAAATTAATTAATTCTTCTATTTAAAAATTTCATTTAAAATTATTTTATCTAAATTTTAATTAATTTATTTATCCTGTAATAATAAATTAAACAATAAATTAAAAAATAATAATAATAGTAAATAAAATTTATTTATTACTTTTATTTAAATTTGTTTATATTTTTAATTAAAAAAAAATATGTTTTTCCAATTTTTCAGAAATGAAAATCAAAAAGAGGACGAATTTTCTTGTGCACGAGTAAATGCAGTTCTTTTCAAGCATAAAGATTCCAAAAGTCATGTGAAAGGTAAAAAAAAATTGTAATCCCAAAGAAAAGAAAATTATAAAAAATTTGAAAATTTAAGTAATATTATATATTTCAATTTAAAATAAAATTAATAGATTTAAAATCTTAGAAAAAAAAGTAATAAATAAATTTGAAAATTCGTCAATTAAAATAATAGAAAATTTAATTAATTAATCAACTATTATATAAAATATTAAATCGAAATTGATTTTTGTCTAATTGTTAAATTAAATTGTTTATTAATTAATTACTAAATTAAATTAATTGTTGGCTAATTTATAAATTAAATTTACTATTAATTAATAATCAAAATTATATTGATTATAGGCTAATTATTAAATTTAATTGATTATTAATTATTTATCAAAATTACAATATTAAATAATTTTCAATTGTATAATTAAAAATTTTTTTTTCATTTTTACATATTTTAATTAAAATTAAAATTAACAAATAAAAAAAAGTTATTGAGAAAAAAAATTCTCAGTTTTTTTTTTTGTACTTTTTTTTCTTAATAACGAGAAAGTTTTCTTTTTTAATAATTTGAAATGTCTTTCTATTTTTGTTTAATAAAAAATGGAAATTTCTTTTATTGCAGTTCATAGGGTCTTTAATCCTTGGGGGCCACAGACATCGGATCCCTCAAGTTGGGAAGAAAGTAAAACTTCGAATGAGACAAGTAATAATTATCCTTTGGCACTGGAAGAACGGTTGTCTAGCACCGAAAAACTTTTAGGAATCAATAAACCAGTTCCACGAGACATTTACGAAAGAATAAAAAGCATTGAGGATCGTGTCTCTCATTTGGAAAGTCTTTCTCCCGAGTACAAAGACTTTTGGGTAATTTCACAAATTTTCTATTGTTTGCAAAAATTTAAAAAAAAAAAAATTTTTTTTTAATTATTCACACTAATTTTTTAATTGGTTAATGCAATTTTTTTTTACTAATATTTAAAAAAAAATACTATTTTAATTATTTAAGTTTATTAATTTATGTTTTAAAATTGTTACTTTTATTATTATTATTATTATTATTTGTTAGTATTTGTTTATTACTATTTTTTTAATTTTTGTTATCATTAAAATTCAGAATATTTTATTATATTTTATTAACGAAGGCAAATTTTCATTTCAGACGGAAGAGCAAAATGAAAGCGTCAAAAGAATATTTAAACCAGTAAGAAAAAGGGTACGTAATTATTTTTTTAAATACAAATTTCAATTTAATTTCGTAATTTTTTTTCAGATTTAATTAGGAGATTTTCTTTTCAAAGCAATAAAAGTATTTTTCTTAATCAATTTGTTTTTTTTTTAAAATATTTTTTAAATTTGTCAATTATAATTTTAGTTAATAAATTATTTATAATAATTTATTAATCAATAATTATAAAAATTTTGTAACAAAAGAAATATTTTGAATTTTTAATTACTGAGGGGAAAAAAAATTATTTTTATCTAAATTATAAATGATAAATTATAAAATGAAATGGAATTTATTTTTTTTGCAGACCTTTTCAACGGCAGAACTTGGTAGTAAACTTCATGAATTAGAAGATAGGTATGCTAAGAAGATGAAATGATATCAGATGCACTTTTATTCTTGAATATTGTAAATATCTATAAATAATTACGTTATCAACGTAATTTTTAACACATTTTTTTAGAGTTTAACACCATTATTTTTTGAAAAAAGCAATTTTTTTTTATGTTAATTACTTATTTCTTTATTGATTTTTTTTTAAACCACAGAAAGTGCACTGCTGATGCTTGCGCTTTTATCAATAAAAAAAATTATTTCCAATATTTTATTGTTTAGTTATTTTAAAATTCAATTCAATTATTCAATTAATAAAATTAAATTTAAAAATAAAAAAAAAGAAATAAATATAAAAAAGAAATAAAATTAAATTTAAAAATTAAAAAAAAAAATAAATATAAAAAAGAAATAAAATTAAATTTAAAAATTAAAAAAAAATTAAATATAAAAATCAAATAAAATTAAATTTAAAAATAAAAAGGAAATAAAATTAAATTTAAAAATTAAAAAAAAATTAAATATAAAAATGAAATAAAATTAAATTTAAAAATAAAAAAGAAATAAAATTAAATTTAAAAATAAAAAAGAAATAAAATTAAATTAAAAAATTAAAAAAAATTAAATATAAAAATTAAGTAAAATTAAAAAAATAAAAGTAAATTTAAAAATTAATTCAAATTAATTTAGTATAGATGTTAATTTTTTAATTTTTTTAATTGCAGTAAAAATAGAAATTGTTTTATTAAAAAAAAGTACTAAAGGGTCATTCCATTATATTTCACCTAAAGTCGTTGCGGCCTAATTTTTAAAAAACTTGGTACTTTCAGAAATGATTCTTTATAATATTTAGGAAACGAAATAAAAAGAATTAAGTTTAAATTTTTATTATTTATCTCAAAATATGTATTTAAAGTGGACAAGGTGCGGAAAAATGTCACCTTTTTAGCATTTAGAAACTTTTTTTAAAAACATAGAAAAATTGTTAAAAGTGTAAAAAAAATTATTTTTTCTTGTTTAGAATCGATTAATTATCTATTTTTTAATGATTAAAGTAGTAAATAAATTAAAATAATATATAAAATAAGTTTTCAAACTTGGTCTGTCAAATAACCTAATTTTGGGATTTTTATTAATTAATTATTAAAAAGTGGAATTATTAAATAAAATAAAAACTCACTGAATGTAAAGTATTTGCGGTGAACTATCAAATTTTCTTAGCACTTTTTACTTTTTCCATTTATAAATGTAAAAAATCTTGAGTCGAAAATTGGCACTTTGTTGATTTTTCCGATTTTTAATCGCTTGTAACTCTTTTGGTGCAAAATAAAAACTTTTGAAACCTGGCGGAATATTTAAGTTATATCTAAATAAAAACTCACTGTAATTTTCGTGATGGATTTTGATCGAGATTAGAAGAAAATTTAATTCCAAAATTGTACGTATATTTCCAGGTTAATGTATGTAATTTTTCGTCTTTGAAGTAGTGGCCCAACTTCAAGTTTAAAAAAATTACATACATTAACCTGGAAATATACGTACAATTTTGGAATTAAATATTCTCCTTATCTCGATCAAAATCCATCACAAAAATTTAAGTGAGTTTTTATTTAGATTTAACTTAAATATTCCACAAGGTTTCAAAAGTTTTTATTTTGCACCAAAAGAGTTACAAGCGATTAAAAATCGGAAAAGTCAACAAAGTGCAAATTTTCGACTCAAGATTTTTTACATTTATAAATTTAAAAAGTACAAAGTGCTAAGAAAATTTGAAAGTTCACCACAAATACTTTACATTCGGTAAGTTTTTATTTTATTTAATAACTCCACTTTTTAGTAATTAATTAATAAAAATCCCAAAATTAGGTTATTTGACAGACCAACTTTGAAAACTTATTTTATATATTATTTTAATTTATTTACTACTTTAATCATTAAAAAATAGATAATTAATCGATTCTAAACAAGAAAAAATAATTTTTTTTACACTTTTAACAATTTTTCTATGTTTTTAAAAAAAGTTTCTAAATGCTAAAAAGGTGACATTTTTCCGCACCTTGTCCACTTTAAATACATATTTTGAGATAAATAATAAAAATTTAAACTTAATTCTTTTTATTTCGTTTCCTAAATATCATAAAAAATCATTTCTGAAAGTATCAACTTCTTTAAAAATTAGGCCGCAACGACTTTAGGTGAAATATAATGGAATGACCCTAAAAAAAATTTTTAAAAAAATGAAAATTTGGATTTATATAAAAAACTAATGAAAATCTCTACTAAAATGAATTCAATTATTTTTTTTGTAAAATAATAATTAAATTACTATTAAATCATGACAATTTATACTGTTTAATTAAATTAAATAATTATATTTAACTAAAATCATTTTAATTATTTGTTTTTTTGTAAAATATTAATTCCTAAATTAATAAGCAACATTTTTTGAATATTTTAGGTTAGAAATTTTTTTTTAATTCAATTTTGCAGTAAATAAAAATTTATTTAAACCTTTAATTATATTATAATTAAAAAATGATTTTTAAAACTGAAACAATTGGAAAAAATTATTAAGGAAAATTTTTGCGCTTTTTATTATATTAATTTGTAGCAGTGTTTTGTCCGTTACGAAGAAAAAAGTAACGCACTACAGTTACGGTTTAAGACACAGTAACTGATTATTATTAAATAGAAATATATTTTTTTTCCACATTAAATGAATATTTTCCTAAAATTATACTGGTAAAAATTGTGAATAAAAATGACAAAAAAAAATAACCTCAAATTTTTATTATTTCAAAAATTAATTAATTTGGCGATTTTGCAAATATAAATATAATTATCGCTAAATAAAACAAAAAAATAGGAAAATATAAATAAAATTTTTATCTAACCTTTATTTTTCTTTATATAAAATTACGAAATAAAATCTGCTTTCCTCTCTTTGACAAAAAATGATATGCACAACTGACAAAAAAAATTTTCACACTGGACAATTACAAATAATTGACAAATATACAAATAATTGTCGCTCGATAAAACAAAAAAAAATAGTAAAATATTAATAAAATTTTCATCTAACCTTTATTTTCCTTTATAAATTTATGGAGAAAAGAAAATTAGCTTTCCATTCGACAAATTTTTGCACAACTGTGTAAAACTGACAAAAAATCTCCTCCACTGGACAATTTTTCCCGCCATTCAAATTGGCGGGAAATTACCGCGAAATGTATTTTTTTCAAAAATTCCAAAAAATAATAAAAAAAAAATTACTAAATACTACAGTGATAAAAAAATACGAATTTCTATTAAAAAAAAAAAAACAAAATAAATCTAATTTCTATAAAAAAAAACTAAACTAACGTGGACAAAAAAACGGAAAAAAAATCCAAAAATCAATAAAATTTCTCACTCACCTGTTTATATTTTGTAATTATCTGCTCTTTTTTTTTCTCTCTCTCTCCACCGGCGTGTTATTGTTATTGACCCAACACTTATACAGTCCCATAGAAAATGACAATCCCCCATATTTAGAAAAAGGAGAAAAACAATCAAAAGTTTGACATTTGTCGTTTTTAATATAAAGAAAAAAAAAGTCTTAACGGTTCAATGAACTTTTACGCGGGGGAGGGGGGGGGGTCGACACGCGAAGGTTTATAACACTTTGAAATAGATATATAGAGGAAAATTTTTACCGGCTTGATATACTCGCGTGACTCTTTTCACACACACACATATATATATATATACAACATAGACAAAAAACAGTTATTTTTGTTGTTGGCTGTACTGTATAAACATATATATAGATAAATTAGTTCGTTTACCGACTGATAGAGGACGTCAGTTCAACTCGCCCCATCAAGGCGGTATGGCTCACTTACATTTGTCTGTCCGAATATTTCCAAGTTAAAGTGTGAATTCCCCCTGTAATGCCGCAATCACCCGTCGTCTAACTAAACGGAATTAATAATTAGGTGTTACTTTCGTTTTTATTTTCCTGTGGTAAGTTAAATGATTATTTAATTAATTTTATTTAGAATTATTTTCGCGCCTTGATAAAAGAAAGAGTGAGAGAGAGAGGAATCGCACGCGGACGACCACGTCGTCTGCCACTGGCTTCTGTCAAAAATCATTTTTTTTTTTTTGCTTATTTTTTAATACCCTTTGAGAATTTATAAATATTTAGATAAATTAGGAAATTTTCATTTTTCGCGCAATGTCGTTGAATTTTTTTTGAGGTTAGAAAATTTATTTTTCTATAAATGAAAGTATTTTATAGTTTATATTCTGTATATGATATAGAAAGGGAGATTCAAGTCGGAAATAGTCAGCTGATATGTGTTGGAATTGATTTTTTTGGACATTTAAACTTTTTGTGTAAGTTTTGTGTTTTCTTTTTGATAGCGCGAGGGAGAGAATTTTTGTTGAAAATTCTATTTTTTTTTTGCCTTTTCTCTTATGTGAAAAATGGGGATTTATTTTTGTTTCGAGTTTTAATTATTCGGTAAAATATAAGTGAAGGTCATTTTTGTTTTTCGTTCAAGTGCTTATTATATATATATATATATATACAATAGAACGGATTTTCCAGTCATTTCCCGAAAATTATCGTCTCAATTTTGAAGGTTATAATTTTATATCTCAATTCTTTTACGCAATGAATATTTATACTAAATATAGTATTAAATATAAAAAATATATAAAATATATGAAATATATTAAATAAATGAAATAAATACAAAGTAAATAGTGAATTAAATATAAAAAAAATAAGTTTTAGGTTAGAAACAAATGTGGGATAAAAATTATAATAATTTAATAATTGAAAAGCACTTAAAGTAATTATATATATATAAATAAATAATATATAAATAATTCGAAAAAATGTGAAATACAAAATATTTGCGAGAATTTCTTTTTAAATTTAATTAAAATAATTTTAGCCTACAATTTTTTTTTTATCTCAACAATAATGTAGGAAATTTTTTTTTGTTTTTTTGCTTTTTGAAAGTAATTTAAAACTGTGTTTTACATTATGGAAGTAAAAAAAAAAAGAATATAAAAGACGAAAAACAGCGTTCAGAGTTTATAAATAATTCCTTTTGATGGACCATATATTCGTTCAACATTGGGGGTGATAAATCTTGAAAAGAAAATTCATTCTCCACTTATATAGGTTAAAAATAATTTTTTTTTTTACATCTGTACCAGGAGAAATTAAAAATTTCGAAAAATATTAATTTTTAAAAATAATATATCAAAAATTAAATAATTATAAAATTATAAATATAAATTAAATAATTAATTAATTTACAAAAATTCAGTTAAATTAATTTAAATAAAATTAAATTAAATTTCATTAAAATGCAAAATATTGATATTTAAATATATATAAAAATTTGTAAAATTATAATTTATTATTATAAAAAAAAATTTTTTTTATTAAAATTTTTAATTATAGTAATATTTTTTTTTTTTGCTGAATAATTGAAAAGTGATTCGTTCCTCATTAAAGAAGCTTATACATAATAAATTCATAAAGAATGAGATAATTTTTTTTTTATTAGGTCAGTTTCTATAAATTATATGAGATGAAAATATTCTTTTTTTTTTTACGAGAATCATTTATAATTAATAAATGGAGAAATTTTATGATGGATTTCAAAAAAAAGAAAAAAAAATTGCTTTTGCGCGTGAAAGAGAAAAAAGAAATAGGATCTTTAAAACTGGAGCTCGATTATATTATGAGGCTCTCAATAAATAAGAAAAAAAAAAAATTGTAAGCTATTAAGTATGGCAAACTGTTTACTTCTTTCGTGACAGGTCGACTGGAAGAATCGTTTTTGTACTCAGTCATTGAAAACTGAGCCACTAGATCACCTGTTTGATTTTGCTTGAACAGATATTTATTATTATTATTATTATTTTATTTTTTTATAATAAAATTTAAGCACATTTTGCAGATCTCATAAATTAAAAAAAATATATTTTTAATTATTTCTTTTTTATTAATTTAAATTAATAAATTTCTTTTTTATTTTTCTACTAAAAATTTATTTTGTAATAAAAATTATTTTTATTTTTCTATAAAAAATTTTATTTTGCAATAAAAATTATTTTTCTTTTTTTTTTAAATCACATTTTTTTTACAGAAATAAGATAAAAAATATTGACAATTATTTTTTTATTTTTTTAATAATAAATTTTTTTTGTATTTTTCCAAATTTATAGCAGCTAGCGATTTTTTTTTATTTTTTAATCAAAAAGAAAATGTTTTAAATAATATTTTCTAAATAATTTTATATAAAAGTATTTAAAAAAATTTTTTTTTTCTTTTCTGGTGGGGAAAAAAATGCTAATTTCATATAAATTTCATTAAATATTAAAATCCAGGAAAGAAAGTTTTCTAAAGGTTGAGAAATATATACTTTTTTTTTTATAATATATTAAGAAACTTTCAATTACACTGATAAATTATTCAATTCATAAATTGGGTTTTCATTGTTTGTTTAATTTTTTATTTAAAAGAAGAAAAAAAAACTATTATTTTTGTCTCCTTGTAAAATTATGTATGTAATTTTTTTAGTTTCATTTTATTTTTAAAAAACATAATATTATTATTGTTATTATTTTTTTATAATATAATAAAAAAAAAATAGAATTCAATTGTTTTAACAATAATTAAAATAATAATAATAATAATAATAATAATAATTTTTTTTTTTTTTTTTTTGGTCGTAGGATAATAATAATAATAATAATAATAATAATAATAGTAATAAATAGTAATAATAATAATAATAATAATAATAATAATAATAATAATAATAATAATAATAATAATAATAATAATAATAATAGTAATAAATAGTAATAATAATAATAAAAATAATAATAATTAAAATAATAATATTGATAAAATGATAATTAAAATTATTAAAATAATAAAAAAAAATTTTTTCAATCAAAAATTTTATTTTTTTTTTGTAAAAAGTAGAAAATAGTGAATGAAAATTTTTGACGTCACAATATTATATATATATATGTATAGTGGGAGATCTCGCGGAAATATCAGAAATCTTTCGATTTCAGCATCCTTGACATGGAATGCATCTCGAAGGTCAAGCAAAGTTGTTTCATTCACGTGGGTTTCCCTTAAAGGGACGTTGCGCAAAAAAAAATTGAAAAAGAGAAAAAAAAAAAAAAAAAATTATATGGCAAAACGCCTATACAAAAATTGAAACCGACACTTTCCCTTTTGTTTGAAACCTTTTCAATTATTCAGTGTATATAATCACGGTATATTATTTACAAAAAAAAAAATTTTTAATTATTTAAATTATTAAAAAATTTATTATTTTTATAATTTATTAATTATTTTTAAAATTTATAAATTTTTCTTTTTACAAAAAACGTTAACTATTTTTATATACGAAATCATAATAATTATTTTATTTCATAATACAAAATAAATTCCATAAAATTGTTCCAAAAAAAAATTTTAATATTGAAATTTTCCACACTAAAAGAAAATTGTTTATTTATACACTAAAGTAAAACTAATGTTAAATATTATTTTTTTGTTATTTGTAAAATTATTATTTTAAAAAATTATTTTTAAAAAATTATTTTAAAATTTTTTTTATATAATTGAAAAATAAAAATAATTTAAAATAATTGGAGTGCAGATAGTTATTTTTTTTTAACTTTTATACAAAATAAAAATTTTTTTTTACATTAAGTACTACTTTTGTTTCTAATTTTATTTTGATGGATTATTAATTTTTTAATTAATTAATTTTTTAATATACAATTTTTTTTACTATTATTTAAATACTTATAATATTTATTTATTTAATTAATAATTAATATTTTAATAAATAAAATTAATTTAATAATTAAATTAATAAATATTTGTGAAATAAATGAATGAATAATTAGTAAATAATAAATTAATAAATAATTATTATCTATAAACGGTCCTAAAAATGAGTGAATAAATTTTACAAAAATATGAAAAAAAAATAAAAATAGAGCCACAATGTAGTATGTATGCATATATATATTTGATATATTTAAAAATAGTTCTCGGGTCAATGAAACATGATTTCTTATGGACTATAAGAATGTTACTCTGGGGTCTATAAGAACATTTATAAACAACACTTTGAAAATCAATTTTTAAATAATTTTTTTATATTTATATATATACAATATTGACTCGTAGAGATATAATTATTATTATATATCTATAAACATATTTTCCGGTAAATAGAAGAAAATTTTTTCCGCAGCAACCTCATTTTACATTTATATAGTTTTTTTTTTTTTTTTAAAGCTCACAAAGTTGTAAATAAAGAAAGGAAGGAAAGATTGTAAATTTTTTCCTTTTTACATATTAACTTGTTAGAGAAAGCACAATCTTTTTGCATGCAAATATTCAATGTTTGTAATTTTTTTTACTGCTTTTTTTTAGGCTCATAAAACTCGCTTTTAAAAATTAACTTCGATCATTGAAAAGCACTGAATTTAGAGTTGAAAATTTTGAACATGAATAGAAATGTAAATGAAATTATTTTTTTTTTATTCGGTATTTAAAAAATAATTATTTAAAAATTATTTCTTCGGTATTTAAAAATTATTTGTTTTATTATTTAAAAAATAATTATTTAAAAATTATAAATTCTATTGTAAAAAAAAATTATTTAACAAACATTTAATTTAAATAATTAAAAATTCGAATTTTTGCAGTTATTTTTTTTTTGTAATAATAGTAATAATTTGAGCAAAAATAAGGGGAAAAAAATTAGTCAGGTACCTGAATTTATGACTAAATTGAGTAACTATAGAAACACCCCTGATTCTATGAACTAATTCTACTTTTCTACAAAATATATATAATATAATGTGAATTCGTAGACCTGTTTTCATTTCTATATAAACTTCACATTTTAAGATCGATGCGAAACAAGAATTAATCATTCTTTAACAACTTTACATGTATATATATAGTGTGTGTGTGGTGTGGATTTTACAAGTTTCGTGCAATGCCGTTTATAATTTTCAAATTATACAGTTTATATAGTCTATTATTTAAATGCTTTGACTCACTTTTTCAAAAAAAAAAAAGAAGTATTTTTCTCCTTTGAATTTTATTTACTTTATTCTTCTCAAAAAATGTTTCTTAGGGTTTATTTTTTAAATAAAAATCGATTTATTAAATTTTCGACATGATATATTTCGAGATATATGGAAATAAATTAAATGAAAAAAAGAAAAAAATTTTAAATATGTAATTTCTAATGTATTTGAAAAGAAACTATATGGTAAATGATGAGTTATGTATAGGCCGGAAGTGAGTGTTTTCTCTCGTTGTTACTACCGGTTACGGGTGGGTGTCCTAACGCGCGCATCATTATATATATACATATAGGTATAAACCAGGTGTTGTTGTCTGAATTTAAATAATATTTCCGCATAAGGCATGTCACGCAGAAAGCACCGTTTTGTCTCAAACCATAAATTTATACTCTCATACTGTGCTTTGCCCTTTAAAAGCAATCTTTTATTTATTTTATTGAAAAAATATATAAAAAATAAGATTTCTTTTCGTTTGATAAAAAGTTGAGCTATTTTTTTTCTAAATTCTTTTCAGAATATTTCTTTTTCTCGCAATATATAATAGAATTTTGTAAAACTGACTTCAAATTTGAAATCAGCGACCCCAAAAACCCCTAGAGATCAAGTACCATGAAGATTAGATGTATTTTTTGAAAATTTTCCGCCATTTTTAATTAGGATTTAGGAATTTTTGAAATCCGAGTTCAAATTCGTGATCAGCGACCCAAAAAACCCCTAGGTATAAAGTACCATGAAAAACTGATACATTTTTGAAAATCCGGGCAAAATTTTGAATCCACCATTTCGAATTTTGAAAATCTGACCTCAGATTCGTGATCAGCGACCCCAAAAACCCCTAGAGATCAAGTACCATAAAGATTAGACACATTTTTTGAAAATTTTCCGCCATTTTGAATTAGGATTAAGGAATTTTTGAAATCCGAGTTCAAATTCGTGATCAGCGACCCAAAAAACCCCTAGGTATAAAGTACCATGAAGAAGTGATAAATTTTTGAAAATCCGGGCAAAATTTTGGATTCGACATTTCGAATTTTGGAAATCTGACCTCAGATTCGTGATCAGCGACCCCAAAAACCCCTAGGTATCAAGTACCATAAAGATTAGACTTATTTTTTTGAAAATTATTCCCCATTTTTAAAATTTTAAGCACCAATTTTGATCCGCTATTTCAGATTTTGGAAATTTGACTTCAGATTTGTAATTAGCGAAAAAGATTTCGGTAAATATTTCTTATTACTTTGTAGTTTTGCAATTTTTGACTCTTCAAACAAAAAAATGTAAACTCCAACCCTCAAAAAATTCGAAAGATTACTACAAATGAAAACTTTTCTCTCTGTGAGTATAATTTTGACCCAATATTTCTTATCCTGTAACCACTATTATTATTTTTTATTAGAATATTTATTATACAACATTGACCGAACATTTCCCCTCAATAATCGAACATCGTTAATTTCTTATTGTTCTATTAATTTGTCCATAAAAATTATGTCATATAGTCGTAATAGGAGTCGTTAATATAGGTAATAATTTTTCCCACATTAGAAAATATTGAATTCTAATTTTCCATATATTCAGAATAATTATACAATAAAGAATATTATTCATATTATGAAGAATGCAGTTGGTGTGTGCTCATATAGTTGAAAATAACCTGTTGGTAGTTTCATGAATGAAGAAGCCATCCCAGTGTAAAGAGTATAATATGGCTATATATGGGTGTGTGATCAAGAGCCAACAATTTGCATAGATAACGTTCATTTAGAGCCAAATTGTTCAAAGGTTTAATGCTTCAGCTATTGATTAAATTTTAAACACTGATGTCTACTTGTTGGGTGGGAATAATAATTGAAATTCTAACTATTCAATTTACATTTTGCTTTTATAGGGCGATTTATGTTTTCCTTCCGGTAATATATTTTTCAAAATCGTTTAACAAAGATTGGCATAAATTGCACCATTTCTTCGAGATTCATTTTAGTAATTCTACAATTTTTAGGATTAATACTGTAATCTGTATCTATTTTTGAATCTGCTTCTGTTTCTGAATCTGTTTCTGTTTCTGTATCTGTATCTGAATCTGTAACTGTACCTGAATCTGTACCTGAATCTGAATCTGAATTTACTACTTTCAAAATATAATATCTTAATCGAATCAAATATAGAAGAAGAAATAAGAATAATAGCTTCGTGGTTTGTAATACTAACCGCATCCAGAAACCACTGAAACTTATACAGTAGCTGCGAAAAGTAAAATGATATATGCATTTCCGTTTTAAGTATATACCTTAGATATATATATTTCCTTTGAAGCTCAACAAATAAAGAAGTGTTGCCTTGTTAAATCGCTCACTTCCCGTGTGTTTAGAAAAATCGATTTAGCTTAGGGATTATAATAGAGTTTGAAGTTGGAAAAAAAAGCTAATTTTTTTTCCTGAACATAACTGAATAAAACCAACCACAAGTTTGTAATCGAGTGAAAGCCTGGTTAATATTGCGTGCATCATGCAACTTTTCCATAACTTGCCTCATAAACTTTTATTATATTTTCGGCTACCTAGGAGATTTTCACCTGACGATAAAAAAATATGTATTTTTATTTTCTTTGACGTCCATAACATTTTGATCGTTCCACTGATTGAAAATGAAGTCCATTCATTAATTTTTCAATTTTTGTTTCAGTTTGTATATTAATAATTATTTGTAAAAAATGTAAAAGTAAACGAAAATCTGGTTGTTCTAGTCAGAAATCCAAAGACTAGAAATTCCTGTTTATGTCTGTTTGGCTCTTTAGATTTTTGTACCCTTCGGATTGGACCTTTCGGTTTGGATCTTTTGCAGCTATATACAAAAGATCCGAACCATAAGGTCCGAAACCCTTTTCCTGTTTGTATTTTTTGTCCGTTTGGATTTTTAGAGTTTTGAAACTTTCGGATTGAATCTTTTGGTTCGGACCTTGTGTATCCATTCATTTTGAATTTTCTAATTTTGGGTATGGGTACTAAAGGTCCAATCCAAAAGATCCAAACGGCGAAAAAATGCAAACAGGAAAAAGGTTTTGGACCTTATGGTTTGAATCTGTTGTATGGGTACAAAAGGTCCAATCCGTAAGGTCCAAAACTCTGAAAATCCAAACGAACTTGTTTCCTGTTTGCATATTTTTTGTCCGTTTGGATCTTTATAGAGTTTTGGACCTTTCGGATTGTACCTTTTGGTTCCGACCTTCTGTACCCATATGCAACAGATCCGAACCATAAGATCCAAAATCTTTTTCCTGTTTGCATATACTTTTTGTTCCTTTGGATCTTTAGAGTTCTGGACCTTTTCGGATTGTAATTTTTCGTACAACCCATTAGGGTTGTAAAATGATTTCTCCACCTTGTAAATTGCAATAAAAAATTATAGATATTAAAAATTGTATTCGGAAATTAAATTGTCAGATGACATGAATGATTACAAACAATGTATTATGGTTTTCTGTATGTGCGCATACATATGATGGAAGGTTGCTACTTAAACATCAAGTAATCAACGCCTCCGGATTTAAACCTATATGCCGTGAAATATACGAGCGTTGCATGTGGCAACTGGGGAAGGCTGATTGGGTCGTTGATTGCGATTAGACTTTATCTACTTCTGATCAGTATAAAAGCAGCAGCAAGTAGGTGAATGTGTTCAGCACAGAGTATATAATTCTAGGCACTGGAAGTTTAAATGAGAACGTATACTATTTTATACATTGGTGTGTGAACACTTTTCATTTCATTTAATCCCTCAATTTATTTCTATATAGATATATATATATATAGTTTGAACATCTATAGATATTTGTAGTACTCGTAAATTACAAACTAATCTTAATGATAATTCAATAGATTCGATCTGCTATACGATAATAATATATATTAGTTAATTAACTGATAATTTTCCTATGTTTTTACAAAAATTGATTTTGTACTTTTGGGTAAAATTTTTTTTTTTGTGATTTACATTTTTGTTCACAAAAAGCTTATTTTTGTTGCTCGCATAGGTATTTAGGAGCAAAAAAAAATGGTGTAAAAATCGTATATATATTGAACCTAGTAGATAATAGAGTTAGTCACATAACAGACACATTACTGACTAGACAAATAGCAGGAACAAGAGGCATATATATATATATAGGTAATAGTTGTTACATCACTTTCCATTTACTGATACAGCCAAATACAGAGTTTGTATACACTTTCACGTTAACACGGAATATTGTGCCAGTTTGATCGAATCACGAATGTGTTTTGCCTCCACAATAATATATGATACATATATTTAAATAATTGTATTCTATTTCTATAGCCCTTTATAGAACCTATTTTTTGAACCCTTCTCTAAAATTTAAAATAAATTTCTAAAATTACGGTCATCGAAATCACAGAAAATTAAAAGGCATTAAAATAAGCTGCAACGGTTCTTATTTTAATCCAATTTTGCTTATTTTAATACCAAAATTGGATTAAAATAAGAAGCGTTGCAGCTTATTTTAATGCCTTTTAATTTTCTGTGATGATTTGTAAGAAATTCTAAAGGGTTTTTTTTTTATTTTATAAAATAGAGATTCAGGACAGAAAGTCAAAAAATTTCATTGTTTTCGGTTAAAAATATTTAAAAAAAAAAAGGAAACTAAAATTCAATGCAAGGTCGTGGAAAATCGGATAATTTGAGTTATAATATAGATGTGTAAGTTTCTACGAATATTTCATGTTTAATTAGATTGGAAATACCAAAAATCTTTCTCTCTCTCCCTCTCTCTCGCACTTTGGAGTGTCGGCTTTGAAAATTGAGTGAAAATTAATTCACTTGCCACGCAAGCAAATCAAAGCGGAAACGTCGCTAACGACACGCGAAGGAATACATTTACCTATTCGTGAGCGGATTACGTGCATGCGGTTTTATATATATATATATATGTATTTGAAAATAGATATCTTAGATCTTCTGGTGGTGTTATCTGCGCGCCTCGACCCGTTTCGATTTACAAAAAAAGTATAGGAAAAAAAAACCGTATATAGAGTGTCGAAAACGAAAACAGGAGGAAAAATAATTGTAGCAGTAAATGTGCATTAGTTGAAATCAATTAGCTGGTTGTATAGCACACTTAACCTATAAAAATAAAAATAAAAAGGAACATTTATTAGTAATTCTAATTTAGATGAGAAATATAATGCCATTATTAATCATTTTAAAAATTTCAATAGCGAAGGTTCACAGAAATAAATTAAAAGGCATTAAAATAAGGGGTTTTGCAGCTTATTTTAAATGCCTTTTAATTTTCTGTGTTCTCTCCACATTTTATAAAATTGGATGAATTCGATATTTTAGAACCAAATCTTAACAAAACGATTATTATCAGAAATATTCTTCATAAAAAAGAAGGTGAAAATGTTTAAATCACTGTAAAATTGATGGTATCATTATCATTTTTTTTTTATTAATTGCATTAATTGACAACGCATTAGAAATATTTATCAAGCGGGCATTACTTAAATTTTGTTCATTTATAATAAATAAATTATTGATAATTATTTGAACCATAAAAATAATTAAAAATTTTCAAGTGTTGTGATTGTGAACTGAACTTAGACAATTTTGACAAATCGTATAAAATGATTTTGAATATTATTTCTAGTAATTAACGTAATAAGTATACTCATTGTGTTCATTCTCTGTTCTTATTTCACTTTATTTGCGTTTTTGTTCTTCTTTCTTTTATTAATTTCCATTATCAGCACTCGATAGAGTTTGAAGCTCAGTTTTAAATTTGACTTTGCAGTTTACAATATGTTTTAAAATTTACTTAGTAAATTTACTTATTTGACAAACTTATTTTATTGTGAACTTCCTATATTTAATTTTAATTTTGTTGTCAACTTTTATTTTATTTATATGTTATTTATTTATTTATTTATTTTTTTGCATAAATATTGTAATTTTTCACGCTGTTTTAAAACAGTTAAAATAGTATAATAATATTATTTGTATATCAAATTTTATCTCATTCTAATATCGTACATTGTGGTTATCTTTAATATCGTAAACTTTATCAGCAGTATGCTACTAATTACTATATAATTTTCATGTGGGGGATTTATCTTATTGTAATTTTATCATTCGAAATCGGATATATTTTTAGCTTTATTATTTTTGTCACAGATATCGTAAATTTTATTCATACTGGTAGCTGAAATCTTATCATATATAAATCTTCTGTTCATAGAAGTATATACCTTATCTACTGTTTGGAAATTTTTATTAAATTCCCGTAATTTAGTATTTTTAACCTTTTCAAATTTTTATGATTATTATTTTTGAAAATTATAGAAAATTTTTACTATTATTATTTTTGGAAATTAAAAAAAAATTATTTTTGAAAATTAAAAAAAAATTATTTTTGGAGAGTAGAAAAAAATGGATTGTTTTTTTTAAAAAAGAAGTATTTTATTATTGTCATTGTGCCTAATGGTTTTATTGTGTGGCAACTTTATAAAATTGAATAAAATTCCATCCACCTTGAATATCAGGTTAATTATTGAATAAAGCCTAGTTTGAACCGTCTAGTCGTTCTACTTTTCTCATTTTCTGCCGTTCCACGTTTTAAATATGCATTAGACACTATATACATTTCGTGTGTATACACTTAATTTTATTTTTAGGTCATATGTAGGTATATTTCTTCTTTTTTTTCTCTCTCTCTTTTCTTCCTGAACACAATTTGAACTTATTCGTTATGTGAATCGCATTAAAATAAATTTGGATTTTTTTTTTGGAGCTTTACAGTACCAAATTTAATTAACAGCAAACTTCACATTGTTCAAAATTAGTTTCATTTCAAATTTGGCGGGAGAAAAATTTATTTATAGGTTATGTTCTATATTTTTTTTGTTTTCTATTGGTAGCACTGATATAGTGCTAAATATTACTAAATATAGAGAAGTTTAGATGAACTATACTTTAGGAAAATATTTTTTATAGTTTCCATTGTTTAGAATATTTCTTAAACAGCAATATTTCTAGAAAAGAATATTTCAAAAAAGAAAAAAAAATGTTGAAAAATTTCTTCATACTAATATTAGGATAATTATTGAATAGAAAAAAAAGAAACTAGATTTTAAATTTAGCGCCTTTGGCAATTATTTTTTGTTACACGGTTGGTACTCCTGTAAAGTACAAATCAATCAAATAAAGTTGAATTCACAAGATTCGTATAACCTAAAAATTCAAGCGCCGTGAAGCTAGCGACCCGGCAGCGATCCGCTGCCGCTCGCAGCAGTCCGTTCTGTATTAATCGTTTCAAATCACACTACTACCTACAATATTTCAAACAAATGTTATTTGTTTGAAATCACACAAATTTTAGGTTAAAATTTCTACATTTTTTAAAAAATTGTTTATCCATTAACAAGCTTATTATAAACAAATTCTTAAAACCTTTGCGTCATACTCGGTTTCTAAAAGAACGACTTATATTAATATCGTTTTAAAATTTACCAATTGCTCGGATTCGCTTAAAACTCGGGGGTTTTAAGCGTCGCTGATTACGAATATGAAATCACTTTTTTAAAATTCAAAATGGCGGATCCAATATGGTGGACGACAGCATTAAAAATTGATCGGATTCGCTTGAAACTAGTTACTCGAGGGTTTTCAGGGTCGCTGATTACGAAAAGAAACTTTTAAAAAAAAGAAACTTTTTTAAAATTAAATTTAACCCCCAGCAGACTAACCCGAAAATCAGCAGTCCGTTTTTCCTATGAGATGGCTATGAAAAAAATTAAAAATGGTGTATTTTAAACAATTGCAAATGTTTTAAAAATTCTAACGTTTGGGGGATGTTTTGAGAACATATTTTGGTGTTTATTTCTGTAGTAGAAACTTTCTTTAAATTAAATTTAACCCCTAGCAGACTGACCCGAAAATCAGCAGTCCGTTTTTCCTATGAGATAGCTATGAAAAAAATTAAAAATGGTGTTTTTTAAACAATTGCAAATTTTTTAAAAATTCTATCGTTTGGGGGATGTTTTGAGAACATATTTTTGTGTTTATTTCATCAGTAGAAAATTTTTTTAAATTAAATTTAACCCCCAGCAGACTGACCCGAAAATGAGCAGTCCGTTTTTCCTATGAGATAGCTATCTTAAAATTGTTTAAAATAAAGAATTGCAAATTATTTAAAAAATTTTAACATATGGGGGATGTTTTGAGAACATATTTTTGTGTTTATTTCTGCAGTAGAAAATTTTTTTAAATTAAATTTAACCCCCAGCAGACTGACCCGAAAATCAGCAGTCCGTTTTTTCTATGAGATGGCTATGAAAAAAATTAAAAATGGTGTATTTTGAACAATTGCAAATTTGTTAAAAATTCTTTCGTTTAGGGGATGTTTTGAGAACATATTTTTGTGTTTATTTCATCAGTAGAAAATTTTTTTAAATTAAATTTAACCCCCAGCAGACTGATCCGAAAATAAGCAGTCCGTTTTTCCTATGAGATAGCTATCTTAAAATTGTTTAAAATAAAGAATTGCAAATTATTTAAAAAATTTTAACATATGGGGGATGTTTTGAGAACATATTTTTGTGTTTATTTCTGCAGTAGAAAATTTTTTTAAATTAAATTTAACCCCCAGCAGACTGACCCGAAAATCAGTAGTCCGTTTTTTCTATGAGATGGCTATGAAAAAAATTAAAAATGGTGTATTTTAAACAATTGCAAATGTTTTAAAAATTCTAACGTTTGGGGGATGTTTTGAGAACATATTTTTGTGTTTATTTCATCAGTAGAAAATTTTTTTAAATTAAATTTAACCCCCAGCAGACTGACCCGAATATCAGCAGTCCGTTTTTTTATTAGATAGCTATCTTAAAATTGTTTAAAATAAAGAATTGCAAATTATTTAAAAATTCTAACGTTTAGGGGATGTTTTGAGAACATATTTTTGTGTTTATTTCTGCAGTAGAAAATTTTTTTAAATTAAATATAACCCCCAGCAGACTGACCCGAAAATCAGCAGTCCGTTTTTCCTAGGAGATAGCTATGAAAAAAATTAAAAATGGTGTTTTTTAAACAATTGCAAATTTTTTAAAAATTCTATCGTTTGGGGGATGTTTTGAGAACATATTTTTGTGTTTATTTCATCAGTAGAAAATTTTTTTAAATTAAATTTAACCCCCAGCAGACTGACCCGAAAATCAGCAGTCCGTTTTTCCTATGAGATGGCTATGAAAAAAATTAAAATTGGTGTATTTTAAACAATTGCAAATGTTTTAAAAATTCTAACGTTTGGGGGATGTTTTGAGAACATATTTTTGTGTTTATTTCTGTAGTAGAAACTTTCTTTAAATTAAATTTAACCCCTAGCAGACTGACCCGAATATCAGCAGTCCATTTTTCTTATTCGGCAGATATGTTAAAAGTGTTAAATTTGATGTCATTTTCGTAATCAGCGACGCTGAAAACCCCCGAGTTTTAAGCGAATCCGAGCAATTGGTAAATTTTAAAACGATATTAATATAAGTCGTTCTTTTAGAAACCTAGTATGACGCAAAGGTTTTAAGAATTTGTTTATAATAAGCTTGTTAATGGATAAACAATTTTTTAAAAAATGTAGAAATTTTAACCTAAAATTTGTGTGATTTCAAACAAATAACATTTGTTTGAAATATTGTAGATAGTAGGGTGATTTGAAACGATTAATACAGAACGGACTGCTGCGAGCGGCAGCGGACCGCTGCCGGGTCGCTAGCTTCACGGCGCTAAAAATTCAGCCTATTTACTTTTGTGAATTAAAAATCACTTTTTCGAGAAGTTTTTCTTTTTAAATAATTTTTCACATAAATCTTTTTTTTTTTCTTACAATTTATTAATTTGCTAAATAAAATATTAATTATAGTATTTTTTTTCCTTTGAATTGAATTTTTTTTATTATTCATTCACTGAAACACACAACCTACCAACATAAGCTGGAAAAAATTTTTTTATTTATTATTTGTTTAAAATTAATATTAAACATTTATTCAATAATATTCCTTTTTTCTTACAAATATACGAGATTGTGATTGTATGAGATTTGTATTTCAATCGAGTATTTATCTTTCTTTTTGGTATATTAAGAATCAAATATTGTCGATCATTTTCATTAATATAAGTCGCAAATGTAATAAATGTTCTAAAAATTGAAAAAAATTTATTTAATTATTAGTTTTTAAATTTATTATTTCAATTTTTTTTATTTATAATAATTGTGCAGAAAACAATATTTAAATTTGTTATTACATGAAAATTTTTATTGAAAAAAATAATTATAAATAATAATAAAAAATAATAATAATATAAATAATAATAATAATAATAATAATAATAAATAATAGTAAAAGTAATAATAATAATAATAATTTTTTATTTTTACCGAAATTGAGCGGGAGATGCGTGAATGTCAATGAATTTTATCTGCAAACCCAATTTGCCAAGTAGTTGATAAAATTTCAATCCCCGCAAACGACATCGAATAATTCTGATTGAATGTAAATGTTGACACCTTTCAAGTATTCGTGTCAATCCCAATGATCGTAAATTGCGTTTGATTGGTAGAACTATTTTATTTTATTTATTGCTTTTTATGGAATTTAATTTCAAATTTTCTGTTTCTTTTTAATAATTTTTTTTTGGAAATAATAATCAAAAGTTTTTTTTTTTAATCTTATTTCATAACATAACCTTAAAAAAAAAATTATAGCCCTAAAATTGAAGGCCAAAAAGTAAAACATAATCTCAAAATTCAAGGACATAGGACGACTATAACCTTAAAATTTTGAAGTTCAAAAGTAGAACATAACCTTAAAATTTCAAATTCAAGAGTAGAACATAACCTTAAAATTTCAAAATTCAAGAGTAGAACATAACCTTAAAATTTCAAATTCAAGAGTAGAACATAACCTTAAAATTTCAAAATTCAAGAGTAGAACATAACCTCAAAATTTAAAAGGAATAGGGCGACTGTAACCTTAAAATTTTAAAGTCCAAATGTTGAACATAACCTCAAAATTTAAGGGCAAAAAGCGATTATAACCTTAAAATTTTGAAGTCTAAAAGCTAAAAGTAGAACATAATCTTTAAATTTTAATTTCAAGAGTAGAACATAACCTCAAAATTCAACGACATAGGGCGACTGTAACCTTAAAATTTTAATGTTTAAGATTTGAACATAACCTTAAAAATTTTAGGACTGTTTTTTTTTCAACAAATTCATTAAAATAAAAAAGTATTTTTTGAATGAAATTTTTTTTTGGAAAAAATACCTGTACATTGATTTGAAATACAAAGGATTTTTAAATATTTATTATTTAATGAAAGTTGACGAAGAATGTAGTCAGTATCATTTCTGATTATTGTAGTAAATTTCTCAAGATAAAACAATCGTTTAAGTTCATTAATCAGATAATTAGTGCTTCTCTTATTGTTTGATATCTAAATTAGGAAGAAAAATTATACTTTTTGTTATATATATTAAAACAAATTGTACTTTGTCATTTAATATTTATTTAATTTTTTTTATTTTAATAAACAGTCACGTATTTTATTAACAATAATTTATATATATTTTTTTTTATTTATATTATTTAATTTATATTCTAATTTATTTTATATTTATTATACTTTTTTATATACTTTACAATTCAAAGACAAATATTATTTTTACTCAAGTCATGTTTTTTTTTTTTTTTTTATAAAACAATATTATATTATACTTATTATTATTTTTATACAATTATATTTTAAATAAAATTTTAATTTTTTTTTTTAATAATTTTTTTATTGCATTATTTTTTTGTTCATATAGTTTTCTGTGATTTTTTGTTTTTTTATTCTTTTTAATTTTTTATTTATAAATTCTAAAAAAAAATAAACAAAATATAATAATAATGTATGAAGTACCTAAATACTTCTTTATTTTAAGCCATTTTTAATATAATAAATAATAATGATAATAATAATAATAATAATAATAAATATAATAATAATATAAATAAAATTATAAATAAAATATAATAATAAAAATAAATATAAATTTATGAATAAAAAAAAAAAAAATTTTTTAGAAACTAGTAAAAATTTTACCACATAAAATTTCAATAATGTTGGATCACGTGAAATTTGTCGAAAAAATTTATTAACAAACTTTAATGTTTTGAGATTTGAATATGATAAATAGGAGAGAATTTTTAATATTATTTCTTTTGGCAATGAAGTGATATTTTTTTCTATTAAAGAATTGTCAATATTATTTATTTGTAATTCATTTTTCTTCTTCTTTTTATTATTATTATTTATTTGAGATAATTTCTGAATTTTCAATGAATAATTATTATTTTTTATACACTTTTCATTGAGATTTGCATTTAACACATTTCGATTATCGTCTTCCATGACACAATTTTTTTTTTTTTTTTTTTTTCAATAAAATTTATTTTATATAAAATCGTTATTATTTTTTCACGAAATTATTTATTTAATACCAAACAATTTTTAAACATTAAAAAAAAATTATCGTCAGCTGTCATAATTAATGTCAAATTTTTTGTGTGGTTTTTTTCCTATTTCTTTTGTTTTGAAATTTTTGAAAAAACAAAATTTTTTTTATTTATTAATTATTAATTATAAAATTAAAAAAAAAAATTTTTTTAATCTAAAATTTTTTTTTTATAATCTATAAATATAAAATAGATAATAAAAATAAATAAAAATCTAAAATTTATATCTAAAAATAAAAATTATAAATTTGAATTTTAAATGTTGACGATAATTAATTATTTAATAATTCAAATTTTTTTTTTTCGTGTCACGAATATAATATGTACTGCATTTTCTCCCCACGTAAATTCCATAACAAGTTCCTTATGATTTGCAGTCAATTTATACAAACATTCTTATTATAACGAGTTGAAAAATAATTTTATAAAAATATCGAGTGGAAGCAATTTTTTTTTTCGATTAATTTTCTTGGAGATTTATTTAAAAATTATTTTTTTACATTTGGCAGAGATTTTTTTTTATATTAAATATATTTTAAGTAAATAAAAAAAAAATAATAATCTGTAATAAATAAATTAAAAAATTAAAAATTAAAAATAAAAATACATTAAAAATTTTGTGTGTATTAAAAAAATATTGTATTAAAATTATTTTATTTATATTTTTTATTATAATTTTTTTTTTTATTTAATTTTGCGAAAAGTTATAAATTATGTTAATGTTTTTTTATTTTTATATTTTTTTATATTGCATAAAAAAAATTATATATCGTGGGAAATCAATATAAATATACATTCTTATTTTACGATCAGACACCAAATGCACGAAATAATAATAGAATAGATTCTGTTTCCCCCTGGGGAACAATTTTATGCAAAAAAATAAATAGTCAAGGTAAATTCTATTTTTAAACAAAACTGACCGACTTTTATATATCAAAAAGTCGGGGGTTCAATTTTATTCATTTTTTTTTATATAATCCTGGAAAAAGGTTGATTCCCTTGAAAAATTTTGCGATAGCATTTTATTCGTTATTTATCTTTTTATTTTTTTATAGAATTGTATTTATTAATATCAAAATTAAGATAAAAATACAATATTTCGTTTTTTGAAAATTTTTCATTTATTTTTTTTTTTATTTAATTTATTAATTTTAATTTATTTATTTTATATTATAATAATTTATATTTTAATAATAATTTCCGCATATTTTTTCAATAATTGTATTTATTAATTTAAATATAAATTTTATTATTTTATTTATATTAAATATTTTGAAATTTAATTTGAGTTATGAAAATTGTTATTGAAAAATTGAAAAAAAAATTTTTTAATTTTTAAAATTGTATTTAAAAAAAAATCAAAGTAAATATTGAAGATAAAATTTTTTTTTCAAAATTGTAAACTAATATTTTTCTTTGTTTTTTCCCTATACAGATTCATAATGTTATCACAAATAAAAAATAGTTCAACGAGAAAATTGGAAGGAAAAAGAACAAAAGAATTGATGTCATCTTCAAGTCTTTCGGGCATGTCACAATTATCAAATAGCAGTGAAGAATCAGAAAGGTGAGGAGAAAAAAAATAATAATTTTTTTTTTTTTCTAAACAATTATGATTTATTTATAATTTTTTTTGTAAATTTAAAAACAATTTTCAATTGGATTTTTAAATTATTCTATAAATAATAAGAAAAATATTTTTTGCCAAACAAGTTTTATTTTTAAAAATATAAATTTATTTTTTTTTCATTATTAAATTTATTGAAAAAAAAAGTAGAAATGAAAATTTAAAAACAAAAATCAAGTAGTGATTTCGTTTTTACCGACCAATGATGTTAATTTTTGTGGTGGCGCTAGTTTCCGGACGACAAAGAAATGCGCGGTATTTGAATTAAATATTTTTTTGTACATTATTAAAAAAAAAAAAATTTTTTTCATTGATAAAATTAATTGAAAAATTACTTTTTATTGACAATTTATTTCGCTGTCTATTAGTATTTTATTATTTATGATCAAAGTTAATTTATATTTTCATTTATTTATTAATTTATATAATTTAAGTTAAATTTTAATTAAATAATTAATTATTAATTAATCAAAATTAAATCAAAATTTATTAATACATATTTTTAATAAATTTTAAAGAAATTTTTAAGAAATTTTTAAGAAATTTTTATACAATTCAAATTAATTTTAATTAATTAAATTAATTTTTACACAATTCAAATTAATTTTTACACAATTCAAATTAATTTCATTAACTAAATAAATAATAATTAATAAATAAAAAAATGACAATTATAAACAATGGTAGTTTCAATTACAATTATATTGTGAAACCATACATTTTATTTTTTTTATTTTTATTATTTATTATTTTGATTATTAATTTTTTTACTATTTTTTTTTTTTGGTTTTTAATTTTTTTACTATTTATTTTTTTGATTATTAATTTTTTTACTATTTATTTTTTTGATTATTAATTTTTTTACAATTTATTTTTTTGATTATTAATTTTTTTTACTATTTTTTTTTATTTTCATTATTACAAATGACAAATAAAATAAATAAATTATTAATATTATTTGTTATTATATTTACTATTTATTATTTTTTCCAATTTATTATTTTTATAATTAAATTCTTTTTATTATTATTATTTATTATTATTATTATTTTTTATATTTGTACTAAAAAATACAGCCGTAAAAAAATCATTATTTTATTATTTATTTAATTAATTGTTTATAATTTTATAATTAATTTTTGCTTCAAACTAAAATTATCAAAAATAATACAAATAAAATTTTCTTTTTTCAAAAAAAGTAAAAATTTTGTAACATTAAAAATAATAGAAATATTAATTTTCGTCCCTCAAGTTTATGCAGGACATGTGAAATAATAAAAAAAAGTATAAAAAAAAAAAAAAAAAAATTGAATGTAAAAATTAATCATAGGAGTGAATTTAAAGTGAGGTGAGGATTTGCGGAAGTCAATGTTACTTTGCATATGGTGAAGGCCTCGTGTCTGTGTGTCGAAATGCGGAAAAAAAAGAGAATAGAAACGTGAGTCGTAAAATGTTGTACGAATCGCGTGCTTGGACTGATATTTTTTTCCCCCCTGGTTGGTTTAAATTTTTTTTTTTTATTTTTTTTCCATATATATATATGTACTACATACGTATATTATATATCTATATATATTCTACGTTTTTGACAGATTTGAACGCGCACTGCATGGCAATCCACGTGACAGTTGTTTTTAAATGTATTCCTTGCTCTAACCGGTTCACGAACCCAGACGCGTTTGAATTTTTTTTTTTTTTATTTCGGCTATATAAAAAAAAGAGAGAGAAACTGACAACAAAATTCATTTAAGGAAGAATTTTTTTTTTTTTTTTTATTCTCTTGTGAAAAATTTTCCTATTTCAATAATTTTTATTTTTTTTCCTGATTTTTGATTAATTAAATTTTTTATTTTTAATTTTTAACATTCGCAGTGCGAAAAAAAATTACTATTGATTTTTTTTTAATAATATTAATTAATAACATAATTTGTCCACTAAAATTTTTTTAAATTAATAAACAATTTTTTTTTTGTATTTAGTTATATAGATACAACAAAATTTTTCTTATTTTTAGTATTGATTTTTTTTCTATTTTTGAAAATTCGGTTTTTCCGTTTGACAAAAAAAAATATTTTTTTCTCCCGTCAATTTTTTAAATAAAAACAAAGAAAAAATAAAAAAAGCTGTCATTGTAAAAAAAAAAAAAATTGTCATTGATTCTTATTTATTAATTAAATACTGATTATTCAAATTTATTTTTTTTAAATAGATTATAAACATTTTTTGTTTTTTAAGTACAAATTTTTTTTTTAATATTGAATTTATTTTTCAATTTTTTGAAAATTCGGTATTTTTAATTTTGTTTAATAAAAACTAACTAAATTTTTTTTTTGTAAAAATTCGTATATAAAAAGAAAATCTGTCAAAAATTTTAATTTGAAAATTTGTCTAAAAAATAATTATATTTCTAATAAAATTCTTTACAATGAAAATTCTAATTAATTATTATTTTTATTTGTATTATTATTATTATTTTTTTTATTTTATTTTTATTTAAAAAAAAATTATCATTGATTCTTATTTATTAATTAAATACTGATTATTCAAATTTTTTTTTTTAATAGATTACACATTTTTTTGTTTTTTAAGTACAATTTGTTTTTTTAATATTGAATTTATTTTCTATTTTTGAAAATTCGGTATTTTTTATTTTTTGTTTAATTGGAAAAAATTGTTTTTTTTCTATTTTTTAAAATGCTGACATTGTTGAAAAAAAAATTACAATTGATTTTTACTGATTTAATTTGGCAAATTAAAAATTTGTTTTCATTAATAAACATTTTTTTGTATTTGCTTAGGTACACATTTTTTTTTTTATTTAATTAAATACAAAAAATTTTTCCTTTTTTAATATTGAATTTATTTCAATTTTAGAAAATCTTTTGTTTTCGTTTATTGAAAAAATTAATTTATCTAAATTAAAAAAATTATCATCTATACTTAAAAAAAGAAATTTATTGAAAAAAATTGTTTTCATATTTTTTAAAATGTTTTCCTTTCCTAATAAGAAAAACAAAAATATTGAAATATAAATTTTTTTGTTGAAACATATTTTATAAATAAATTTTTTGAAAAAAAATAAATAAATTTCTTTAGTGATGAAAATAGTTGTTTATTAAATATTGAATTAAATTTTGTTTTATTCCGCGCTTAGTCGAGATTAGAATCGAGAGAAACTAATAATAAAAAATCTCTATTTTCAGTACAACGAAGGACAAAAGTCCGCAGTTTAACGAATGGCTGTTAAATGGACCGACGGGGAACAAATCATCAATCTTACGTTTCAAGTACGAATTTTTTAATTTTTTCCTATATACAATCACTGTTTTTTTTTTTATTTATTTATTTTTTTTTTTTTATAAATATCCGTATCTCCTATCATCTCAGTTCTAGATCATTGATGAATAAAAGAGCCATTTTTTTCCCCTCATTCCCGGAATTATTCTCATTTTAATTTATTTATTGAATTTCTTTGTTTAACGATTTGAAAAATTTTTTTTTTCCTTTTAATTTTATTGGAGAATGAGAATTTTAATTAATTTAAAAAAAATTGTTTTTTCTCTTTTTTTTGATATTTTTTAGTAAAATTTATTTTCTATATAATCTACTTGCCAATTACAAATGAGAATAAAATTTATTTGAATTTTTCAAGATTGTGTGTTTTTAAATTTTTTTTTTTTTTTTTTTTAGATGCTCAGCTTTGTCAACGCCTCCGGAAAACCCACCGGCGAAAAAACTTCACATGACCTACAAGATTTTTCAAACAGAAACAAAACTCATAAATTTTCTTCTTCAGTCGCATGGATTTTCTGAGGTGAGTGCAAAAAAAAAATTATTTTTTTTTTTTAACTTTACATTGTTTAAAAACAAAAAATATTCTTTTCCCAAGGGACATTATTTTTAGTAACGAAAATTCCAAAAATTTAACTATCAAAATATTATTTATTTTTTAAACGGAAATAATGCTTGAAATTTCGTTAAAATTTAAAATTTCTAATTAATTTCAAAATTAAATTAAATTAGAGAAATTTAATTTTCAAATTTAATTAAATTTAGTAAGTGTTAATTTAAATTAAATTTATTTAATTTATATAATTATAATATTTATTTATTGTTAATTTAAATAAATATTAATTAAAATTCAATATTAAAAAAAAAAGAAACATTAAAAAGACAAATTTTTCGTTGTATGAAAATCTTTATTATTTAAAATCTAAATTAGTCGATAATTCGATTTTTTTACTTTCATTCGATTATAATAATCAGCACTTTGATAATTAAATCATATAAGGATATATATATCGCAGTAATCGAAAGCTTATTATCAATCACGACCTACAAAAACATTTCTTGGAATAACATTTTTTTTTCCAAATTTTTTTTTTTGTTCGAATTTTTTTTTTCATCTTTTTAATATATCACAATAATTAACGTCATTTCTATCGTATAGAAAAAAGAAATTGACACTCAAAAAAATCACTTTTTTTTACATATTAGAAAAAATTGACTTTGAACAATTTGACAATGATTATTACTTACTAAAATTGTTTTTTTAAGAGATAAATATTGTCAACGAACATTATTTTTTTGCAGAACTTTTCAAAAAAAAAAAAAAATTAATAAAACTTTTTACAATTGTAATACTGATAAATGTACAGTCTATTTAAGAAAGCGAAAAAAATAAAATGACAGCGTTAATCGAACAGCAGCCAATTATGTCATGGTCGTTGTTTAACTTTTGTAATTTTATTACAAAAAAAAGTTTCATTCTTCAGTATTAATGAGAAATCGCCAGTGATTTGAAAATTAAACAAAAATTTTTTTATCCAAATTGATTTTTAATCGTTGATTTTTATTTCATTTTTTTATTTTACCAAAAAATTTTAATTTTGTCATTTTTCGTGCCTACAGTCGGTAATGCAGATTTCTAGCTTATCGATCGGATTGAATTTTTTCTAGTAGAAATCTACTTTACCGACTTATGATATGGTAGAGATCTACATTACCGACCGAACAGTTACCGGCTGCAGGTAGCTAGCCGAGATCAGAACACGAGTACCGACTTAGGTTCTGGTCTAGGCTAAGTATCTGCAATCGGCAATTGTTCGGTCGGCAATGCAGATTTCTTACTTATCTGCTGGGTTGAAATTCTTTTAACAGAACCCTGCTTCATCGACGGCTGATAAGGTAGAAATCTACATTGCCAACCGAGCAATTACCGAGTGTATGTAGCTAGCTGAGATCAGAACACGAGTACTTACTTAGATTCTGGTCTAAGCTAAGGATCTGCAGTTGGTAACTGTTCGGTCGGCAATGCTGATCTCTACCTTATTTACCGGGGTGGAATTACCCGACAGAACCCTGTCTTACCGACTATAGATAAGATAGGAATCTACATTACCAACCGCGTAATTACCGACTGAAGGTAGTTAGCCGAGATCAGAACACTAGTACTGGTTTAGGTTCTGGTCTAAACTAAGTATCTGCACTCGGTAACTGTTCGGTGGGCAATACAGATTTCTAACTTACCTACAGGTTAGAAATTATCCTGACAGAATCCTGCCTTACCGACGACTGATAAGGTAGAAATCTACATTACCGACTGAAAGCAGAACCTGAGCCAAAATTCGTGTTGCTATATAATACATGTGTCAAAAAAAAATTATTTTAAAAATCACTGAGTCATGAAACAAAAATCCTCATAAACATCACTTTATTCTTCTTTTTTTTTTCTTCTTTGAAAAAAAAACTATTGTATACAATTACTCCAAAACCAATGTGAACCTGGACATAGATCAACGTCCAAATTTTCACGCGCTAATGCATTTCTCAGCATTTTTACACCTTCACAATCGAGGCCCCAATTTGCGAGATTACCAATTTTTCTCAATTTTCGACAGCTCTTAAACATATTGAGTACCATTGATGCTGAGACTTTACTCGCCTCATAAATATAGAAACATGTTAAATTTTGCACCAAACTCTTGTTGGATGAGTATTTTTTCTCATGATTTTTCTTTACATCAATCTCGAGAAGTTTTTCAATATGCTCATCGGATAGATCAAAACAACTGTGTATATGAAGGGCATTGAGTTCGGGTGCAAGGGATAATATTTTTAATATTGTCCCTGCACTCACTGTTCTACCGAGTTGAACTTTACGAAGATTTTTCAATGCCGGTGGATCGACACCACCTTCGGACCAAATAACACTGCAACCATCTTTTGTTAATGTTCGTAAATTTGGACAATTATTGAATATCTCCTTAAGATCAAGATCAACGGGTATTTCACTTTGTGCAACGCGTATATCCAATTTTCGTAAATTAGCACCATTTGTTCGTAGATAGTCATAAAATCCGGCTAACCATTCTTTTTGCGCTGGTATTCCATGAATACTGAGTGCAGTGACATAGGGAAATAGTCTTAATGCCTCGGGTGGATGATGTGGTTCAGAGATGTGTAATCGTTCGACAAGTGGACAGGCTTGAGCTAAAAGTTCTAATCTTGATGGTGTGGTTCTTGAACTTCTTGCCTGGGTTAGTTTGAAGGGTGTTTTTAGATTAATGACACCACGATTCATTATTTCCACCACACGACCCATGTGATTGTAATCGGCAAGGGATTCGAGTTTGGGAACATGTTCGAGTGCAAGTAGAACGCCTGCACTTGTTACTGTGGTATTGGCGACATTTAGAACTCTCAGTGTATCGCAGAGAAAATTTCTTCTATCGTAGTACTCCAAAAGAATATTTTGTTTGTCCTTCTTGTCCCTGCGTGAGGCTTTTAATTTGGATATTAAAGTCTTGAGTTTTGACCAACTTGTCGTTTCCCTCACTGTAAGATCGGGGATTTTATCGCGAAATTCCACTTGAAGTAGAAGTTGCTTTAGACCCATATCGGAGACTTGACGAGAGCAGGCCACGTCCAGAATGACAAGTTTTGGACAGGCTTTGCCAATTACTTGGAGTACAGCGTCGCTGGCAATATTTCGGAGTGTTAGACTTTGGAGATTCTTCATGCTGACAAGTGAGGTGCGTAGAAGTTTACAGTCGAGACGTAAAAGTGCTGATCGTGCTAATTCCAGGGATTCGAGACCAATTCCCTCGGTTGCCAGGAGTTTAAGGAGTGATGTTTGATGACTGCAGCCATAATAACAGCAGAGATTGACTTTAATACGTTTTATATCGTGACCTAGAAGCAAGGCATGAAGATAGAGAGGAGCTGGTCCGGAGATTAGTGTTGAACCATCAGTTGAGGGTCCATCAAGCATACGTGAGGTTTCATCGATGACACGCGAACGTAATTGAGCTGGTAGAGCATTAACATAGTAAGGCCTAATATTTTGCTTGGCATAGGCGAGAACCTGGGCTGCTGGTGATTCTTGTGATAATTGCTGTAGACGTCGGCACGTCCCGTCGAGTTGTTGGCACACACGCCCCAAACTAAGGTCTACCAGAGACTTAGGCTGACGGTGGCCAGGCATCTTCTCTTGTTCATCAACTGTAAAAAAAATAGGAAATTCAGTTTTAGATAAGGCTTTTCTTTTTTTCGACTAATGTTCTAATGCTTTCTTTGGTCAATTATTGTTTCAATAGGCCACGGTTGCTATGGTAACGAATGTGAGTACACGGAGAGAAAAATTAGGTTGCAACAATCGGAGACTCCGGTTGAAACTACTTGACCTACGCAGGCGTGAACGCAATTACCGATACACAAGTCAGTACAATTTGGTAGTCAGGCAGTTTTCGCCTGGCTGTCTCAAGTAGTATCAATTGAGCAGGGAAAAGCTTGGTCGGTATTGTTTGAGAACATCAATAGCTGCAATTAAAGACCCAAGTCAAAACAGCCTGGCTCCCTGGTTATAACTACTTGACTTTATAAGATCAACATGACGACTTAAAAGAAAGCAGTTGGAACTTTTTTTTTTCTCTCCGTGTAAGAAAGACAGAACTATTGTCTATCTCTTTTACTCTTGTACGTTGCCATGGTAACCGTTGCTAAGGAGATATGAACGAGGCTTAATGCATTGCTATGGTAACAAAAAGGGATAAGAAAGACTTGTCTATCTCTCTTACTCTTGTACGTTGCCATGATAACCGCTGTCTTATAAAGAGATGTGAACGGGACTTAAAGCGTCACTAGCAACGGTTGCTATGATGAGGTTACCATAGCAACAGTTGCCGTGCTGATCGTTGCTATAGTAACGCTTTAAACCCCGTTCACATAGCAACGTTTACTGTGGTAACCTCATCATAGCAACCGTTGCTAGTGACGCGTTAAGCCCCGTTCACACGGTTGCTATGATGAGGTTACCATGGCAACCGTTGCTAGTGACGCGTTAAGCCCCGTTCACACGGTTGCTATGATGAGGTTACCACAGCAACCGTTGCTAGTGGCGCGTTAAGCCCCGTTCACACGGTTGCTATGATGAGGTTACCAGAGCAACCGTTGCTAGTGACGCGTTAAGCCCCGTTCACACGGTTGCTATGATGAGGTTGCCATGGCAACGTACAAGAGTAAGAGAGATAGACAATAATTTTGTCTTTTTTACTCTTATTCGTTATCATCAAAAAATAAAATATTGAAATAAATATTCAAAGATTAAAAATTCTACTGAATAAATATAAAATAAAAAAAAATTAAATTAAATTAAAATAATTAAACGAATGAAGGATAAAAAAAATTAATTACTTGACTACATAATAAAAAAATTGTTTTTATATTGCAAATATATGTTGGTTGATAAAAAAAATGAATGTTATCTTTAACAAAAAAAAAAAATTGAAAATAATAGTGTATTTCCTTCATATGAAAATAAAAATTTAAATAACAATGGCAATTATGATTAGAGACGATTTTCGATTTGTTATAGTTTTTTTTTTTTTTTTGTAAATTTAAATTCCACCTTATTTTCGAACAATTATTACAAACATAAAATTAAAGCTAGTAAAAGGCGGCATTTTTTTTATAATTGTCTCGTGGAAAACAATTTTTATTAAATAAAAAATACTATCGGTAATATGATAATTTTTCTAAAAAAAAAAGTATTAATTTTAATGAAAAATAAATAAATAAAATTTTGTTTTTTGATAAAAATTAATTTAAGAAAAAAAATTATAAATGAAAATTATTATTATTATTATTTTTTCTTAATATTATGTGAAGTAAATGAAAAATATTGTTGTTTACTATGTATATAAAACAGTGGAGAATTTTTTAGACAATTATTTTGTGTTACCTTTTTTTTTAAAAAAAAATTAATAAATATTTTTCAAATTGTTTATTTTATTAACATAAACGGAAAAGTTCATTAAGTTGAAGTGAGAAGATTAGCAATAAGTTGATAATAAAATGAAATACGTCTTCTTTTATATCAATATAGAACGAAAATATTTTTTAGTTTTTACAGTTCAAAAGTCGACTTTTCATTGTTTTAATATAGTTTTTTTTATTTATTTTTATTTTTATATTATATTTTTTTAATACTTTTTTTATTTTTATATTATATTTTTTTAATACTTTTTTTATATTTTATAAATATTTTAAAAAAAATTTACATTTTAAAAAATTTTTCTTTCAATTGCAATTAACTTTTTTAAATTTATTTTCAATATTTAATTTATTATACTTGGCATACATTATGAAAACAATTTACAGTTTTGTTTAAATTAATATTTATTTAAATTGTTAATTAATTAAATATTTAAATCATCAAATCTCACAAAAAAAATTTTTTTTTCTTTTTAAATTATTATTTATAAATTCAATTTTTAAAAATTCATAAAAGTTTTACTAAAATTCACACATGTTAACTTAAATTTATTCTTTTTTTCAATTTAGTTTTTTTCCACAATTTTCTATGTAAATTTATTTACATTTTTCTCTCTCTCTCTTTCTTTCATTTTTTTTTTTTTTATCAAATTCGTTCGTTATAAATATATAGATAACAAGCAAAAAAAAAAATATATTAACTGATAATAATTGAATGCACGTCATTTTTTATCAGAAATACAAAATGAACATTTATGAAAAGTTAATAATTAAAAACACACACATATACAGAGAGATATTTAATTAATTAAGAGAAACTATTCATGGAAAAATATTTTTCTTTTTTTTTGTGGTTTTTTTTTTTTTTTACTTTGAAGAACAATAATAATTAAAAATCGTCTCGTCATGAAAAATTGAAAAACATTTATTTTACTAAAGTGTGTAAAATCTCTTTTTCTAATTTTTAATTACATAGTCAAGAAAAAATTACTTTGCTTGAAAAACTCATCTTTCAGAATTTTATTAACTAACCATCAACAATGATAAAGTGGCAGTTTTTTTTTTAATGTATGTCAATTTTATGCTTTTTAATAATGTTTATATTTTTTTTCTCTTAAAATAAATATAATTAATTGATAAATTTTTTTTAATTGATTAACATTGAGAAAATTTATATTTTTTTTATAAATTATTTTTTTTCATATTTAATATATTTTTTTTTCAAATTAATTTTTAGTTTTCTTATTATTTAATTAGTTAATTAATTATAATAAGTAAATTAATTAATTTAATTATTTAATACAAAATAAGTTAATTAAAAAAAAAAATTAATTAAAAAAAATTAATTAATTAATAAACATTAAATAAAATTTTTTTTTATCACAAAATTTGGTTCAGGTTTTTATGATTTTACATGAAACTAAAGGCGTTTTCTTTTTAAAAATACCTTGACATTTAAAAAAGTGACGATGACATAATTTGAATGGTTCTTTGGCCTCTTGGACCAGCAAAAAATCTTTAAGGAATTAAATTAAATTTTTTTTTATAAATTTGCAACTAAATGGGAAATGCAAAAATATTTTTTTTCATATTCTAAATTAATTATTAATGAAATTAAATTTGTGTTAAATATCTGAAAAGTAAAAAAAAAAAAGATTTTTTATTATTTGAATTAATTAATAGGCGTAAAAATGTTAATAATAATTTAACATAAATGATAAATTGAGTAATTAATTAAGAAATTGAAATTAGAATAATGAATATCTAATTAAGGTAATGGGGAATTTTATACAAAGTGCTCCAAATTTTTTTTTTTAATATTATTAAAAAAAATTAATATTATTAAAAGAAAAAATTTAATAAATTTAAAAAAATATTTAAAAAATAATATTTTTAAAAAGTGAAAAAAATTAATAATTTTACAAAAATAGAAAAATTAATATACTTTTAAAAAATAATTTTTTTAAAACAGAATAAAAACACGAAATATATATATATAAATATTGAAAAGTGCGTAAAAAAAATGATGTTAATTTTTGCATCATGCTTTTTTACTATATGGCATAAAAGAAGGAAGTTAATCTTTCTGGTTTTATTTTTTCATGTCGAATATTTTTCTTTATTTTTAGAATTTTAAGTAAGCAAAATGATGGTTTTTTTTTCCTCTTGAAAAAAAATCACATCTAAAAACTGTTATTGCGTGCTAACAAAAAAATGATTTACTCTTGTTGTTCGACTACTGCGACTTGGAAAATGTTAAAAATACTATAATATTTATATTGAATCATTTATAGATGAGTGAACGAAATTATTATTTATTTATTACTGTTTTTTTTTTGATCTATGAAAATTCATTAGCCAAAATTTATTTAACAGCATTTATTTTTTACCGATATAAATTTTTTTTTTACTTTTAAAAATTTATGAATAATTTATTATTTATTATTATTATTATTATTATTATTTATTATTATTATTTAATTTAAATTTTATTATTTATTTATTTATTCGATATAAATATTTTTTTTATCAAATTTCTTAAATTTTTTTTTGAATTCACGATATAATGTGAAATAGTTTAATAAAATTAAATATTTTTGTAATTTTTTTTTTAATATTTGAGGACTCGAAATGAAGTTGATAAACAGGTATGATAAATTTAATATTGACGTATCACATTGACATAATATACAAATGCATATGAGCAAATTAAGTCCCTTGTATATATGGATGGAAGACGCAGTTAACTTACATATTTATTGGTCTATTTGTCATGCCGTGCATAAATTACGTAAAAAAAAAAGACAAAAATACAAATAGGTACCTAATATTCAAAAGTGATTTTTTTTTTTGTTCGAAAATAAATTTTTCAAAAACCAAATTCTTTAAAAAAAAAAAAAATGGAAAATAAATTCTCAAAAAAAAAAAAAAAATTCAAAAAAATGAATTCTAAAAAAATAAATTCTTCAACAAAAATTAATTTTGAAAAAAATTAATTTTTCTTGATTATTAATATTTTCTTCCCTTTCTTTTTTTCAATATGAATAAAATAATTTTTTTTTTTTTTAAGATTTTGACGAAATTTAAAAATTTTTTTATGGTAAAACAAAGGAAATTTTCTTTAAAAAAAAACAAACAAACAAAATTTATTGTGTTTTATATATATATATTAGTATACACGCGATGAGGCATCATTTTTAACTCTCTCGAGTGGCATAAACATCGTTAAAGAGATAAACCCCCTTTCCCTCCCACCCCTTGCATTGACTATAATAATATCAGTGAATTATGCTTTATTCTTAATTAAGGAAAGGCTTCAATTTTATGACTCTTGATTAGGTAAATGAGGAACAAGGGGAAAAATGAGTGCTAATTTACTTCTTTTTTCTTTGTGCTCTATTTTCGTTGGCAAATTCTTTTTTCTTATTTTTTTTTTTTGTGAAAAAGATTTTTTTATTTTTTTTAATATTTACAATAATTTTTATAATAATCATAATGAAAAGAATAAAAAATAAAAATAATTACAATAATAATAATAATAATAATAATAATAATAATAATAATAATAATAATAATAATAATAACAAAAAATAATATTAAGAATAATTTATAATATTTATAAAAAAACATTTTTAAATTATATTAATTTAATTTAAATTTACAATATTTATGGAAGAAAAACAAATTAATTTGAATTAAAACCAAAATTGAAAAATTTATTTACTTTAAATTGAAATTTTTTTTTTGTTTTGCAAATTAGCAAATTTTTTTAAACTGAAAAATATATTTTTGAAATTCAATATTATTTTCATGTTTTCAAATTATTTTAATTAAAAAAAAAAAAAAAATTTTTAATTTTTGTTAATTAATAATATAGATATTATTTATTTTTAATAATATTTTGTTGTTTATTAATTCAATTTTTGTTTATAATAATTGAAAATCTACAATTGTTTTTTTTTGAAAATAAAGTTGTTTTTTTTTTTAATTTGATAACATATGGACCTTGGAAAAAATTCTAATAAACAAATAATTATTTTAAACAATTGGAATTAACAAATAATAAAAATAAATAAAATTCAATAAAATAAAAAATTGACAAATAATTTTTGGATTACAATAAAAAATTTTTTTTTTTTATTTTGAATTAAATTTTTTTTTTTATATATTTTCAAATTAAGAAAATTTTTTTTAAACTGAAAAATATTTTTGAAAATTAACTATTTTTCATTGTTTTTCAAATTATTTTAATTAAAAAAATATATATATAAATAGTTTTGTTATTAATAATATATAATATATTATATTTGTTTTAAATAATAAAATATAGTTAATTAATTATATTTTATTTAATAATATTTTTAATTAAAAAATAGTTTGTAATTGTAAATAATTTTTTTTGTTTTGTAGTTATTTTTTGATTATTATATTTTTATTATGTTATTTGTTATTATTTTATTTATTACGAGTTATTATAATAATTATTTAAATGTTTTGTATTATTATTAATTTTATATTCATATTATATTTTTTAATTTAAATATTTTATTATTATTATTATTATTATTATTATTATTATTATTATTATATTAATATTTGGTATATTTTTGAAATATTTTTTTAAATTATTTTATTATTATTATTATTATTATTATTATTGGTAATTATTATTGGTAATTATTATTGATAATTATTAAACAATATAAAAGTTTGTATTTCGTAAAATTCAAGACATCATTTAGCCGACTTTTCTTGATTCTCTTTTATTTATGCCGGAATCTCGTTCACTTTCTCTTTATATAATTTATGTCATCTTATCCGACAAAGACTCATGTGTGGTGTTGGTATATAATACGACTCGACAATTTTAAAGACGATAAGAAAATGACAATAATGAAAAATTAGAAAGGAATTTGCGATATATACGTTTTCATTGTATGTGTATATACTAAATTTTAATTTTCTTTCTCTCTCTCTCTCCACATTTTTTTTTCTTATTTTTAATTTACAATAAATATATGACATTATAAATACACTCTATCGGGGAAAATCTCTTTCTTTTTTCCTTGTGTAACTTTTCACGCGTTTCTCGGGGACAACTATCACCGTGCGTGCCACTTTAGACGGCTTGGCGGCAGATATAATAGTTTTTAATCATCTCTTATTTAAAATCTTTTTTTTTTTTTATTATTACTCACACAAAATTATTACCTTTTGTATTTCCCCGTTCTTTCTTTTTAGAAAGAGAAAAAAAACAGTTATTTGTCTTTTTTTTTTTTGGTTAATCAATATTTAATACAAAAAGAAAATTCCTTTAGGATGACATTTTTTCATTTATATAATTTAAATTAATATTTATTAATTTATAATCATACTTTTATGTTTTTAAATTCCACGACAATTTTAGTCGTGAATTTAACAAAAAAAAAAAAAAGAAGAAGAAGAAAATTAATTAAACATTGATAAAAATTAATGAGATTTACAAATTACTTTGGAATTTGCATTAAAAAAAAAAAAATAATGAAGTATTTTTGATATTAATTTATAAAAAAAAAATGCAATTTATATTTTTTTTTGGTCATTAATTATTATTATTATTTTTTTAGATTAGATTTATTTTCTTCATTGTACACTTTCTCAGTTTTACAATATAATAATAATTATTTTTTAAATAAATAAATAATAAATATTACATAAATTAATTTATTAAATAAATAAATAATAAATATTATGTAAATTAATTTATTAAATAAATAAATATTACATAAATTAAGTTATTAAATAAATAATAAATATTATGTAAATTAATTTATTAATTAAAAATAAAATAATTTCTCCATGGATCCTCGTGGCAAAAAAAAAAATTACTTCAATAAATAATAAAAAAAAATAATAATAAAATTATTAACGAAAATTTAATCTAATCATTGAGTATACAATAATTAAATAAAATAAAAAAATATATAAATTATAAATTAAAATAAATAAATAAATGAATATTAATAACAAAAAAAAGTCACTATAAATTAAATATATTCACTTAGTTTTCTATATTTATAGAAATTTTCATTTTTTATAAATTTATTTTATTATATTATTTATTATTATATTATATTATTTATATTATTTTTTTTTAATTTTTATAATATTGTAGGAAAAAATTGTCACACAATTATTATTGTCACTACTGTAATTTTATTCACGTGTTTTTTTTTCTTCACAAAAATTTATTATGTTTTTCTTTTTTTTTTCTTATTTATTTTGTTTTTTTGTCGACTTTTTATTCACACTTTTTAATGGTTTATTTATTATTTTATATTAGTTTTTTTTTTATTATTTATTTAGAAATATTTAATAATTGTAATTATATTATTTTTTTATTAAAATTTTTTATTATTATTATTTTTATTAAATTTAATAATAATAAATAAATAACAAATAGAATATAATAAAATAATAAATAAAGTACATAATAATAATAATTTATAACATTTATAATTTAAAAAAAAAATTATTCAAATTTTAATTTAAATTTACAATAACTTATAGAGAAGAAAATTTAATTTAATGTTAATAATTTTATATCAATTTATACTTTATTTTATTGTCAATTTTTTTTTTAAATAATTAATTATTATTTTGTTTTTTATTTTATTTTTTTAATTTATAATTGAATTAATTTATTTATAATTTCTTTATTTTTTTTTTTTTTATTTATTTCTGATATTGTTTTTATATTTATGGACTTGCACTTGAATGGGAATGAAAAAAATTTGGAGGGGGAGATTAAAAAAAAAAAAATAAAAAAAATGAGGGACAAAAAAAAATTTCGCGGCCTACCTTGAAACAAGCAAGTCCCCTACGGGTGTCTCCTGAGCGGCAGCTCGTGCTAGACTGGCACTGGCTTTCAACATTGAAATTGTAAACGTCTGGTGTTCGCGACCTCGCCATCCTCATCACCCACCAACACACGCGACGCAAACCTTATTTCACTCTCCTCGCATTTTGCTGCCGCTTCTCTCATTCCTAAAATATAATATAAGAATTTTATTTATTTAAATCGGCCCGCGCTCGCGACAATGCCCTCAAAAATTCAACTCCCTCACTAGTCAGTGCTTCCAATTATCCGGGATATAAAATTTGCTATATATTTATATACTATATTGAAAAAAAATAGTTTTGAAAAAAAAAAATTTTTGTCTATTAATTATTTATTTATTATTTATTTATTATTTAAAAAAAACTACTGTTTTCTATATACAAATTCGAAAACTTAATTCTTATTTCAATAGTAATAAATGCATAATTGTGATTGGCTAAATTACGATTTGGCTGTATTACGTCATATCTGTGATTGTATTCAATTGGTCAGCATTGTTATCGTACCTTAAAACCCCACAGGGTTGGGAAACGACACTTTCAAAAATCGTCCCCACGTTTCTAATTGGTTGAATATAATGTTTCCGAAAATTCCACCAATCAGTAATGTGGAATTTTTATCTTCCCAACCCTGTTTCTTCGTCGTCCTCCTTTTTATATTTTCTGTGAGAATTTTTTTTTTTCTAATAAAACCAACATCTTCTATTAATAAACGATAATAACTATAGAAATAATAATATTGAATTAAAATTTTTAATAACAAAATTGATTAATAAAATTTAAAAACTGATACATTTGATACACAAAACTTTATTTTCTTTATATTTTTTCTGATTTTACGTTTTAGAAAAGTTAACCTCAAAAATTTTGATTTTATTGATGATTATACACACAGAAAAAATTAAGAGTACTTGGATAAATTTGTTAAATAATGTCGATATATTCTCTATTAAAAAAAAAGTTGAAAATTATGAACTTGCTTTACGATCAGAATTTTACTATAAAATAGATTTCTTTGGATTTTTTAAATCTGATGACAAAGTTGTGACGCTCCACACGGTGAAAGATTCATGATTAAAATAAAACAAGTTGATTTTTAATACGATCGAACGCAATAAAAAACAATATATCGAAATATCGATCAATATATTCGATTATCGATTAATTTATCGATATATTTGATTATCGAATGATCGAATAACCTAAAAATGAATGTGAGTAATAATTTTTTTTTTTAATTTTTAAATACATATTTATAATTAAATGTTCATCGAACACTGACGATGACATTTTTAGTGTGACTAAAAACATTTTCTAGAACCTATAATAATTTTTTTTTTTAATTATTTATAATGTCTTAGAAAAAAAAAGATGAATAAACCTCGTTCCACTTTTGAGGAATCTTCCTTAGATTATTTATTGATTATATATTGGGAATACCTAATCATTTTGCTTCCTAGTTAATGAAAAAAAAATTAACCGGTTTTTCACGCATTGATTCAAAAACTTCCGATTGCAATTTATTTCGTTTTATTATACATATACACATATATATGTGTTTAATTTAGTCAACTGATTGGAATTTATTATTATAATTAGTTAATTACTTGACAACATGACTAATTGCCGAATCATTCTCGCTTGTATATTATTATTATTATTATTATAATTATTAATATTATTATTTTTTAGTTTTTTTTCTAATTTTAATTATTTAATAATAATAAAAATAATACAAATTTCATTTAATAATTTATTTTTATTGATTAATTTTAATTTAGATACTAAAATAAAACAAAAGAATTAATTAATTATTTTTCTTACTATATTTATTATTAATAAAAAAAATAATACAGAATATAATTAAAAAATTTCACGAGGAATTGAAAAAATAGAAAAAAAACTATAAATATATAAATTTTGTGCAAAAAAAAAAATCATTTTTCTTTTTACGAAAAGAATTTTTTATCCGGTTAATGACACTATTTGACCGCGCGCGCGCGACGTCATGCAATTATTAAAATTTGGCACAATGCCACTGTTTGTAATACAGTGTTTGAATTTTCGATTGTCGCTATTTCGAATCATGAATTAGTTGATGCAAATGAACTTGCATGCCAAATTAACGGAAATGATTAAAATTGACGTTTCCTCTCTAAAGGTTTTCTTTACAATTTTTTTTTCAAAAAAAAAAAACCAATTTACACTTCATTTTTAAAAGCTATTCAAATTTTTGTAAACAAACTTTTTTTTCGCTTCTACATTTTTACAAAGAAAATTTAAAAAAAAAATTATTTTATAAAATTTTTAATAATTATTTTTTTAATACCATTTTAATTAATAAAATCTTTACAATATTATCATTATTTTATTATAATTTTATAATTTTGTAATAGTAAATTATTAATAATAATAATATTAATAATATAGATATAAATAAATATAATATAAAATTAATATTTAAATTATTTTTGTTTTTTATTTAAATTAAAAAAAATAAAAAATTTGTTTAAAATTACTTTATACAAATAATATAAAATTAAATTAGGAAATTTTAATTATTAGAACTTTATTTATTTTTTCATTTTTTTTTAATTTCGTCTAATTAGAAAATTTTTTGAGTACAAAATTTCCTAATTAACGCAAAGATAATGATTTTGCGATAATAAATAAAAAAAAAAGTTTCATTGAATTATTTGAAAGTTAAGGTCAAATTAAAAAGGAAATTTCTCACTACTTGAATTAAAATTCCAATGACTCAATAAAGCAAATTTTTTTTTTTTTAATTAATAAAAAAAAATTACTGTTTTCTTCAAACTTGTGAATAATATTTAATATATATGAGAAGAAATCTGTATTGAAGATGAAAATATAATTAATTTTTTTTAATACAATCTAAAGAATACTAAAGTAAAAAAATATAAAATAAAAATAAAAAGTACTAAATTAAAAATATATAAAATAAAAAGTAGATTCAATAAAAAAATTTAATGAATTTTAAATATTCCAATTCAATTTTGCCTCGTCTCTAAAATCATAAGTTTAGCAGTGTAAATTAATATTCTTCATTAATATTATCTTCCTATAGAGCAGTTTTACTTGCAAACTTTTCGGATGGCTGTTCTCAATTTCATATTTTATATCTATATATAAAATTTATAAATGAGAACAAGTATATAGAATTATTTTATAAAATATTATTTTTCATGAATGAATTTAAAAAAAAAATAAAATTTAGAATTCTTGAAAAAAATTAGTAAATTATCATCAACATCTGGACCTCATTTTTTTTTTTTTGTTCTTTTATTCCAATTGTGCTCGTTTCATCAATTTTAATAATAAATTCTACTCTTCCTCATAATATATTAAGTCATGCGAGATAAACTCACATCTTTAGAGAGACAGCGGAAACGTTCATTATAACAATTATTACAATTTATGAGTTATTTTCTGATGAAAAGATTTTTAAAATCTCAAAAAGTCAATGGCATTTGGAAAAAATTTTTAAACTTTATTTTTTTATTTTATTTCAAAAAAAAAAATTTTATTATTTTTTATAGTAAAAAAAATGATAAAAAATTGATTTTAAAAACGTCTTATTTCTGCAGTTTAATTTTTCATTTTATTTTATGATATTTACTTGTTCTTAACCGTTGATAATTGAATTTTTGATTACTTATAAGGAAGAATTAATTGTTTTTATGTTTATTTCTTTTTTTTTTTTTAAACTAACTTTTTCATTCAATAATATTTCTTTTATAATTAAACGATTCATTCGTGCAATAAAATAATAATAAAAAATTTTCCTCTATTGTTGAAAACAGTATTTTTTTGTAATTATCAAACAAAAAAATTTTATAAAAATTTTCGAATTTTTTGAAAATTTTTTGAAACGTTTTCTTTGTTCTTATACATATATATAGAAAAAAATTTATTTGGGGCAAATAAATATTTTTTTGTAGTGTAAATGTAAAAGAAAATAATTTTTTTTTTAAATAAATAAAACAGGAAAAAATTACAGCGATACAGAATCAATTTTTTAGTCACGAATCTTTAAGGTCGTCTGTATATTGTTTCTGGCGTCCCTCAAATCAAAGAATAAAATTAACTGGTCATCTGCTATAAATTATTATCAAATAAATATAAAAAAAAATTATTTATTTATTATTATTAAATTATTATCACTAAATTATAATTATTATAATATAATAGAATAATAATAAAAATAATAATAAATAAAAAATTATTTATTAAATATATTTGTTCTAGTTTCTTAAAAAAAAGAAACATGTTTTGTTTTAAAATTGTTCATAAAAATTGTTAAGTATTTAAAGGAAGGTACTTATTAGCAGTCCCTGAAATTTTATTATAGAATTGTAATAAAAATAATATGAGAAATACTTTTTATTTCCACTAAATTTTAATGTTATACACAAAAAAAACCTTGGACACATTGGGAAGGAAAAAAAAAATTATCATTTAACAATAAAATATTAAAATGGTTAAAAACATTAAAATTTATCAAAGACTATAGGAATTAAAAAAAAAAATTGTTAGAAAAATTTTTTTTTAAATATATTTAAAAATTATTTACTTTGAAAAATTGTAGTTTTGAACGCTTTTTTTTGGAAAATTTACTGGTATACATTTAATCATTTTTTTTTTGTCTCTTTGATATATTTATGATGAAAATTATTTACAAAAAAAACGTATGACTAATGATGTTATTTTTATTTACTGAATACAAACATTCTATGTTTAAAGTCATACAAGTTAGGATGAAAAAAAATTTATTTTTCAAAATGAATGAATCAGAAAAAAAATGCGTTGAAAAATTGCCAATTTTCTTGTTTCTAAATAAAATTTTTTTTCTATATTACAAGCAGTTTTTTATCAAAAATAATTTTTTAATTGAAAACAAATTTTTTGTATTAAGAGAAATATTTTTTTTATTAAAAACAATTTTTTTTAAATTTATTTTAAGTTGACGGGACAAAAAAAATATTTTTTTTTACTAAAAAACTTTATTTTTTAATTAAAAACAATTTTTTTGTATCAAAATAAATTTTTTTATTAAAAACAATTTTTTTTACTAAAAAACATTTTTTTAAA